ATGTACTCGGATAGAACACCATTCCGCCAGCGATCTGACAACTCAGTCTCAGACTAGCCTTTACAAAGTTATTCCTGTCTGTAGGGTCCTACAAGATTCATGACGTCTTTTTTTCATTTATCGTGAACTGATACTAATATCAAACGTACCGTTATTGATCCGAGTGAGTGTAGCTTCTGTAACAGATTACTTAAAGTCTACATCCCACGTGATATGAATATCAGCACTATCACAATTACGTTTAAAATGATGAAATCATTACAAACGTTTGAATGACTATGTATACTTTCAGGTGGTCCAACGTGTTTGGTATGATAAGCAAATATGACCGCAGAACGGTGCTTCGGAAACCAACGGAGAGTACAAAGAATACTTGCATGTAGAATGAACAAAAAATTCCAATGAATATCGCGTTTTAATGATAACATATTTGTTTTTTCCATTCATGGCAGACATATTTACTAACATTTTTGGCTGGTATATACCTACATATTTTACTTAGAAGTTAAAGAACCGATTACACGATATTCTGAGACAGAAAACAACACCCCTCATCTGCTCCAAGACGTTTCCGGCTGCACAAACACTTTATTGGAATTGGAACAACAGTATGACTAACGCAATCACTTATTGTTACTTTAGAATCAATATTTACCCTGTTTATCGTTTTTTGGTGTACGCAATCGTCCATAAGCGCTGTTATGTACACCACTAGATTTGGTATTATGTTATTTTGAGTTCGTCTTTAGACGTTTGAATTTCAACATCATAGATGAACTCAAAAACACATAATATCAAATCTGGTGGTGTTCTCGTTTGAACTCCATGTGTTTAAATAATAGATGCCTCCAACATCTCGTTCTTCCTTGTCTCTAAGATGCTATCAAGAATTATGGTACGACCTGGTACAATTACGTCAATGCGGACCGAGGGCATTATCTTGATATTTATGTTCTCCCTATAACACTATTCCTTATGTATAATACTTGCGCCACCTCTCATATTACAGTATTAGGGCGCAGACATTCTTCTGAACATCATACTATATAATAAACATCATACTTTAAAATAAACATCATTCTTTATGATAAATATCATAGTATATAATTAATAGATTATTCAATAAGTCTATAATTCCAAAGACAAGGTTGAACTACTTTCCTCCTTAGTGCAGTTTTGAATAACTGTTATTACACGTATATTTCGATAATTCACTGTCTTTCAAGTTATTCATCAATCCACAAACGTCAGCATCAAAAGATTATTCCTATCATAGTATTGTCTGTAAAATAAATAATTATTTCACTCTTTGTATATTTGTTTCAACAACGGCAATCCTTTTCTCAAAGTTCGAAAAATATTAAAGCACTTTTTTGCTCACTTCAACGGTGTGTTTTTAATATTGTGTAACATATTAATGTAAAAACATTTATGTTCTCCCTATAACACTATTCCTTATGTATAATACTTGCGCCACCTCTCATATTACAGTATTAGGGCGCAGACATTCTTCTGAACATCATACTATATAATAAACATCATACTTTAAAATAAACATCATTCTTTATGATAAATATCATAGTATATAATTAATAGATTATTCAATAAGTCTATAATTCCAAAGACAAGGTTGAACTACTTTCCTCCTTAGTGCAGTTTTGAATAACTGTTATTACACGTATATTTCGATAATTCACTGTCTTTCAAGTTATTCATCAATCCACAAACGTCAGCATCAAAAGATTATTCCTATCATAGTATTGTCTGTAAAATAAATAATTATTTCACTCTTTGTATATTTGTTTCAACAACGGCAATCCTTTTCTCAAAGTTCGAAAAATATTAAAGCACTTTTTTTTCTTTTGCTCACTTCAACGGTGTGTTTTTAATATTGTGTAACATATTAATGTAAAAACAAATTGAGTTCTTAACATTTCTTTTATCCAATAATAAGGTGCTGTAATTTTTTTAGGTCCTGTGATGTATCCGAATTGTTCCATGTTTAGGTAGTAATCTTGGAAATATTTATATTCAATTAAGTAATAGGAATAATTTGCGGCTTTTCAACATACATTAAAGAGGTCGCTTTCTTCAATTTTTCCATTTGTATTATGAAATAATTTTGTTATCTACTATTTTTGTGTTTCCATGAAACCCATAAGATCGAAGAAGATTTGTGTATATTCTATGTTGAATGTTTGTTTCCACAGTTGTCGGCACTTACTCAGATTCATTGGATCAGTTATTATCCGTTTCCATTCGTAAGTGATTAAAATTAACATAGGCAAGTACATTATGATGCAACTTATGTTTAGCATAATTTTGAATAATTGAATTTTACATGTTAACTTCTAATAGTTCAGAATTGACTTTTTAAATAAGTTACTTAACTGATCCGATTATATTTTTTTTTCAGTTATGAATACGGATTTCATCTATTTCATTGCGTTTGTTAAGTATGCAATCTACATGTATATGTATATATCAATCCGCTGTTATTGATCAAATGCATTATTCTTTCTTTTTAAATGTGGTAGGGTTTTTGGGATCGAAAATTTATTGAGACAAATGAAAGCGATTGCATTAAAGGTTTGTATAATTCAACAATACTTTAAATCTCTGAAAGCTGGCGTGGCCGTTATTCAGAGAATTGTTTTCGACCTAAAAGGTGACTTTGAGGAATCGGACTAGCTTCTAAATATTTCTATTGCAGCTGAGCAATTTTTTCTTCCCTTGTTACACAAAATTTTCAATGTTGTGTTTATAGCAGGATACTTCCCTAAAGTATTGTCTGAGGCTTTAATTGTGCCTTTTTTTTTTTAAAATAGGCGACACGACTGACCTTAGTAACTGGCGTGGAAATAGGCCTTTTAAGTGATGTACTAAAATCATTCACTAAGGTTAAGTAAATGGGCAAGCGAGGACAATATATTATCGGATGCCGAATATGGTTTCCATTCAGGCATGGGAACAGTAGACACAGTATTTCCGTTACACTATATTATTTATTATTATTTTATTAATAATAAGAAAAAAACTGTATTTCTAGTAATTACCAAAAAGCATTCGATAATATTGACAGATGTTAAATGTGGTATAAAATAGATTGGTGTTCGTACAACAAAGATGTCGGTAGCAAAACCATTGAATAGTCTCATCAACTGCAGGGAAAATATCTTATTTTAAAAGGAAATAACAGGACCGGGGTTTTACAAACGGAGGTTATATCACCAATTCTGTTATCTTAACTGTTAACGATTGTGAATCTGAACTCTTACACGCCGGTATACAGTCGCTTGAATTACAAGACTTGTCACTATATTTATTATTGTACGCAGATGATATGGTTTTATTTTCTGAAAGTATACATGGTTTACAGGCTATGCTGGACAAACATGATAACTACAATGAAAAGTGGTGTCTGGCTGTTAATGTATCTGAAACCAAAATTGTGGTTTCTCGTTAGTCAGGACGATTATCACAATGGTACTTCAATGATCAGTTGCTTGAAAATGTAAATAGTATTTGTTACCTTAGCTTGCTGCTACATCGAACGGTAACTTTAATGCATCGCAAAAACAGTTAGCATCTCAAAGTAGGAAAGCATTATTCGCACGGCAAAAGATTTGTGTACCTATGTACTGGAATTTCTCCACATCAATAAGTCCCTTTGACACATATTTAGAAGGGTTGCTAGTTACAGTAGCTACGTATGGGGATTCGATACCGCCCCCGATTTAGAGAAGACACAATCAGATTTTTGTGAAAACATTCTTGGGGTTAAACGGTCGACCACACCAAACTTTATAGTATACTTAAAACTTGAGAGAGTTCCGTAGTTTCTTTTTCGTAAATAAATAATATTTAAGAATTGGTGTGAGATAATCTCTACCAATAATTGTATTTTAAGAGGATATTACGAGTTCATGTACGGCGAATGTAGGACTAACCCGTATTGTAAAAACTGGGTTGCGAAAGTCAAACACGATCTTGGGACTATTGTAAAACAACATTTGAAGGACATTTTCAAGCAATAGTGTGGAATAAGTTTTTGCCTCGTCTCCTAAATGTATTAAATATAAGCACGTTGTAAATCGTTAAACATTGTAAACCTATCTTTCAAACCCTATCAATATTAATTATAAAATGTTACCGTAAAAATACGTTTATCTTTGCATTGTCTTCTCATCGAATCTGGCAGACAAAGGAATGATCCTCGCCAACTACGTAATTGTTCTGTATGTCGTCATTATTTCGACAACGAATATCCTTTAAATTCACCCTGTCCTTTCTACAATGATCTGAGATAAACTTATAGCAAGTTTCACTATCGTTCGAGTCCTCCTGTAATTAAATTAGTTATTTTTTTATCATCTTCTAACATAAAAGAACTATATGATTAAGGAAAATTTATACCTTGCGAAATCAAATTAAGCCGACATAATTATTTAATAGAAAATAATGGAATTACCTGAAAAATGTAATCATTCTTAATACAAATGTTGTATCAATGAACTGTATAAGTATACGATGAATAGAGAATATTATTGAAATAAAGAGCTTGGATTACTTCTCAATCACATGATTTACAATTCAAATAAATGTATATACCTTGAGTGGACATTCAAACCAACGGGTTATGATGTGGTATACACGTGTGTTGTATTAAAGTTTTGAATGAGTCTGATACAACGAACATGATATAAACACAGGTTGAAGATTATATTGATGATTTCCAAGGGCAAATAAACAAAAATATAAAATCGCTTACATATTATGTTACAAACTTCAAGCCGAACAGGACATTTTTTACTGTCAATAATATTTTGGCGCCTTTGATCATATTAGAGTAATTACAAGTGGTTTCTAACGAAAGTCACGACATCGGTATATTGCATGTCAGAACAGGCTGTTTTGTGCTAAATGTATTTATCATATTAAAAGGAAAACATTCGAATTGTAGTCTGATATTATTTTAATGAAGAAGCAATCTTTACTTTTTAATTCTTTCCAAACGCATATTCCCTCAACTTTTGGAAAGATGCGTTGGTACTCTCCAACAGCACGCTTTGTGAAAGATCTGGTGAATATTTGCAAGCTTCTGGTTTTCGCTCGTAAACTTCTGCCAACTCCCTAAAGTAAAATGGGGCATTCCCGCAGCAAAGCCCAATGTAGTTCACTCCGATTGCCTTTGCCTCCTCCGCAAATTCGCGAATGTCATCTCGGCTACTCATTACACAAGCCAGGTTTTTCGGATAAATATGTTTTCCTATCAAAGAATAAGCAAATTCCTTCAAATTCAATATACTTTTAGCGTATGATATTGGAAATGACAAGGCACAAAAAGCTAAATATTCCACCTGTCAAAAGAAGAGCATTGAAAATCGGGAATGCTATTACTATATGAAATCTCAACGTGAAGAACATCCTATCCTTTAAAATATTTGATAACATAAATGAATTGGTTTTTTTTTTTTTTTTTTTACAGAATTACAACTTCTATTCCAGCAAAGTTAAAGTTTGATTAAATGTAGGGATCAAAATGAAATCGTCAAACTACCAGAGCTAAAGCTTTTACAACGTTTTTATGGAGAAGTGATTACCATTCAATAGAGAATAGTGTTAAGCTAGAAGATCGCTTCCCTCCTCTCAAATGCAACAAATACTGTTTGTAAGACTATTGACAATGAATTGCTTTCCTGTGTCATTTCTATCAAATAAAGAATAGTATAACAAGCGCTGTGGCTTGGCATAACTTATCAAATAGTATGTACACACCGGTTTCTGGATCCTTCAGCGAGTGCCAAGTACGGCAATCCTCCCTCGTCCTGTAAACCACGGGAAGAGCAGCAATTGGACCCTGAAAAAACAGTAAGAATTCTTAACAGTCATTTTAGATTGATAACAATAACTTGAGAACAAGATTAATACTGGCGTTATGTACATATTACTACCGTTCTGGAAGACAAGGGCATAAAAATAGATTAAATAAGACGAATGTTCCCTTCATTTACCTACTCACCTTGCATAACTTTCTAATTTCTTTTAGGGCCGGAAGCATGGTTCTTGGGCCACGCCCACAGTTGAGGCCCACTACTGCCGCTCCAGCTTCCTCTAGTCTACGGCAAGCCTCTGCTATTGGCACACCATCAGTCGTCTCGTCCGGAATTAAACACGTGAGAGTTATTACAGCAGGAATTCCTGTATTACAATTAGAAATAGATTAAGGAAAATAGTTTTTCTGATTAACTCTCAGATCCATATTCATCAAATTTTTTTTTTCAATTGCATTTAACAATACATTTTTGTGGTTATGATAACATTATGTGTACCTTTCCCGTGTTCCTTAATTGTCTCGAGAGCTAGCTTCGCTTCCCCGTAAGAGTGTATCGTCTCCGCTATCATATAGTCCGCCCCCTCCTCAACTGCCCACTCTACCTGTTCCTGTAAAATAAGAACTAAACAGGATAAGTTTTAGCATATTTCTTGTCCAACGGAAATTATTTCAGCGTTTGACTTTCTTGAATGACAGTGATTGTTCAGATGATATAGGCCTAGTCCACATGGTCGCTACTTCAATTGAAGACAGTAACCAGAACGTTACCACCGGAAAAGATATCTTACACTATCCAATAACACTTTGATGTTAGTTGCGTTTTCCTCTAAAATAAAAATATCGCACTAGAACAACGTACCTTGAAAATGGACCTGACTTTGTCATGTGTTTCCGCGACATCTGCTTCATATACAGTGGTACAACAAAGTCCACCAGCCATCAGAGTGTCGGTCTCGTTAGCCAACTGTCGGGCGATTTTGAGAGCCTTTCTATTGAGCATTTCAAGGTCATCTTCTCGACCGATTGATGCAAGTTTTTCCCTGTGTCCAAAATACTGAAATATGAATGACGACATTGTAGAGAGGATATTTCCGTTCGGATCTTGTCTATGTTTAGAATGGTTTGGGGTATATTTCCCTACGCGTACTACTAGTAGCTTTAAAAATGCGGCCAAAGACGCATAGCACAAGCAAACCTTGGTCAGGTACCTCAGATTTAGATAAAATTATAGGTCATATGATGAACAGAACCTGATATGAAGACATTGATGACATTTTTGTAGTATTTTCCATTTTTGCTCGCCAAATGTCAACAAAAATAGAATATTCAAAAGTCGTGTCATGTCTGATTCCCTAATGATAAAGAAAAAATATAAAATATAAAAATGGCAGCGTATCAAACATTACCATTAATGCTTCCACCACGTCAGTACCAGCGTGAATGAATTCTTGGTGTAATCCCTGAACTACTTCCGGGTGTTCTAAAACAACTTCCGGCACAAATCCTCCCGATTGTAGGTATCCTCTTCTCTCTATTTCCATTACATATCCCTCTGCTACCAAGACGTGTCCACCATTTTGTAGACGTTCCAACAAACCTTGGTATCAAAGATGTGTAAAATACGCTTTATCAACTCACCGAAATTGACATTGCAGTATATAGTTCAAAGGATTGTTCTCTGCAATTTCGCAGAGCATAACAAATCTAGGTCCTTAGCATCGCTGACAAGTCCTAGAAGGACGAAACAGCTGTATGGTGCAATTTGATTTATTGCTTAGTTCTTCTTCATCTGATTCTAAATTTGGATGAAAATGAACTGTGTCTTCTGTGTATTCTTCGAGATTACAGGTGGTAAAGTAATTTGCATTCTACGTTTACTTTCAATCGAATTGTGACACGGCTCACAATATACGAATTTTCTTGGCGTTTTTTCTGAAATTAATATATTCAAACTCCAATATTTATATATAACTTGCATCTATCGTAAACATATTACAAAACTGATAAATTATGGGGCTAATTCACCTCCTCATGTAAATTTTGACATTTCTTTCGATCACTTTGGATTTTCCTTAGTTCCCCCAATAAGGTTACACCGTGCTGTAATACCAGCCCATACCGAAGTTGTACTTACCTTTTTTACTCATATCCAATTATGTCGGTATCAGACAGCACTTGATAAAGTGGGTTAAAACGTGTTCGATGATCACCTACAATAAACACAACACGCTATGATCAACTGACCATGCCCCCAACGTCAAATACCTCTTGATCAATAAATAGAACTTCAAATGTATTGTACAACTGATTTGTGACTTTCATGTAAATTATCACAGTGTCTTTTTTTTTTTTTTTATTTCAGGCATGACAAGGCGATCATGCATAGAATTACTCATTGTACTGTACTATCATGTAATATATATATTAGTGTTGCATACTATTAGACTGTATATTAATTTGTCAATAGTGTTGCTAGGGCTTACACTAGCGGACTACTTTTTAAATTGCAATTTTGTTATCCTAAGAGTTTATGACACGAATTTGTATAGTCTAATTAATAATAAACAATCAACTAATGTTTGCAAAGTTAATCCCTGTGAGATATAATAGGACTGGTGAATAAAGTTTGTTTGGCTGAATATCTTTATATGTGGTAACCGCTTTGCCAAATGTGTGAGAGCGGGTTTTGGTGCAAGTAATATGCACATGCAAACTCTTCAAGGTCAGAGAGCAACTGGCTTTTTGTCCGGTATCTGCTCTGTTTGTATTTGTAATATGAAGAGAATAGTTCTTAAAAATAAACTGTGTATGTATACTCATACATATATTGAAATCTATATGTGAGGAAGCATTAATTTCTTAAAATTTCAGTTTTGTTATTTTTTTGAAATTGTGTAAAGTTGCAGCAAGTTCAGATAAAAAAAATAGATGTATGATAAATGTTTACAGCATGAACAGTAAGGATCGGTCTTATGCACGGACACACTACGGCGAGGTTTTACTTCATTTCAAATGCATGGTGACTAACATCTGCCATTTCGTTACTTACGCTGTCGCGTTGCTCCGATTAACACCACAACAAAATACTGCTTAACAGCAACTCTAAATAGCAACACATTATATATTGTTAAGCACTGTCCTTCTGTTGCTCCTTGACGCGAAATAACAGCTACTTCCTGTTGTTGCTATTTCACGTAAGTTTCTTTTTTCTCTCATTTCGTTATGTTACTGCGAAAGGCGGTGTTTAAAGTGGCAATATGTAGTCATCGTTATTTTGTTGCGACAAATATCAACAATCAAGCAAAATTTCGTTACATGTGAGTGCTGCCCAAACAAATAGACAATTCCAATTATCCTTTTATATATCTTTGTTGGGCCTTTCGAATTGCCCTTCTTTCATTGTTCGTAGTCAAGGCCTGCCGTTCTTCCACAAAACGTTTGTGCTCTCTCGATTTCCCCTGAAAAATGACTGACAGGTTTTTCTCTAATATTTACTTGTAGCTTTCAGTGGATTTTTTCGTCAGGAAGCCAATATCATAGGGTCTATAAACACCTGCAAGTGGGAGATCGCTCTGCAAATATGTATGTAAGTGTATGTGCGTAAACCTATAGACTGTAAAGCCCTTGGAGGCTTTTCAGTGTTGGTTTGTTTGTTTGTTTGTTTGTTTTTTTTTGCAATGATAAACAACCGTGAAATAATTTATTAAGAAATGCTCCCCTCTATGTAGTTTCAATATACGTATACGTTAGCTACATTTTTTGAAAATTCTGTTTATAACAATGTTTGGTCAAGGATTTCCCTGGCGGAATACTTGGTTAACATGTGGTGTTCTGAGGTTGTACATTTTGATGTCATTAAATGGTGCTGTAGCCATTGAATTCGATTTATGAGTTTAATTGTGTTTTAGTTAAAGCGTTGTAAAAAAATGAAGATTTTTTATTTAATCTATTTCATTGCTTTTGTTTAGTATACAGCCTATGTAACATGTATATTCTATATACATTGTTCTATTTATTAAACTGTACATCATGTATTGTTACATAGATTAGAAAGTAGCTCTAAAAGGTAACCATTTTTTTACAGACCAGTAAGTTAAGGCGTCACTACTTATGTTAGGAATTGCATTTTGTTATTCTATTCACCACATGTGCATTTGTTTTTTTTTTGTTTTTTTTTTTTTTGTTTTTTTTTTTGGGGGGGGTGGGGGTTTTCCTATCCCATAAAATTATCTGTCAAATTGCTGATAACTGAATAAATTATTAAACTAACATGTATGTATATCTATATTTTATTTATGGTTATTTTTTACTACAATCCTCTTTAGTAAGGTTTTCTTACTTTTCTATGTTGATTTTGAAAATAAGTAGATTGAGTTTAAACTTGTTCAGAATTTCCCTCGGAATTATTTTCTAGTTCGCTTTGCATCTATCCACCAGGTTTTTCCTCCAACCAATATTCAACATTTCTACAAGTGATTCAGTGTCTGTTCAAACAAGACCTTCGTTTGCTTAACCCCAAATTAGTACACTTTCAGATATGTTTCTTTTCTTATTATTTGGATAGCTGAAGAATTTATTACCAAAGATTTTCTAATCGTGGTTAAGTTTCTTTTTTTCCCCAGATCTTTTAACATTTCATCGGTGGTGGTTTCCGGTCAACCAGTTGTTGTTTTCCGATCAAAAGTCCTAATTAATTGAAAAGCCCGTTTGAAATCTTAAAATAAAGCGCCAATTTTTATATCGTTATTCCTGTAAATCTATTTTATGTGCCCGTTTTGTTCTGTCTGCATCGTTTTATGTATAATCTTTATCTATTAGCTAGTGCATGCGAAACTATTTTTTCTTATTAATTAACGTTACTAATCACATTTTTTGGTTTAATCTTCCTATATCGTTATATTCCATTCAATGCTTCCATATTTCCTGTATCAGACCAACTTTTTCATGGAATGCTACTGAAAATAGTGTGTATTGCTGTTACATTAGCCTCTTTCCATGCACTGTGCACAAGTACTTCAGATTCGTTTATGGTTTAGCCAATGAATCTGCTGTTTATCTAGTCTCCGCTTCTCCATATCATTAGAATTAAACAATCGTGTGCTGTTGTCTTTACATCTATTGTTCTATGTAATGAAATAATGAGTAACACAACTTTACGGACAAAAACATTGCGTGCGCTAGTTTGTTACCTGGATAACATTGATAAATAATTGATGATGGAAAAAATGAGAGAGAGAGAGAGAGAGAGAGAGAGAGAGAGAGAGAGAGAGAGAGAGTGGGGGAATCTCTGATTTCGGCTTGGACGTTAACGTTGAGCTTGACCAAGCTTTTGATGGAAGAAAATGAATTGAAGTAACACCGCGCGAGATCGGAACGAGCTTGAAATAAATCCGTGATCCGTGTAACATTCATCAACTTCCGTTTGATAACTACTTTCGATTTGTCTTACCGCTGTACCGGAAGACGTACATACATGTGGAGCACACATCTCCCAAGGTTATTACGTGTATGTGTTTTAAAGTTAACTGGAACTTTTCGACATCAAGGTTGCATGTCATGAATACTTAGCGCAATGCTAAGTCTGTACACAAACAGAATCACAACGATTGTACATGAATACACTGATAAAACATGTAATTGTAGACTCAATTCCAATAACATTTAAAAATAACAAACCACACAATAATCGACTGCTATATTAATCTGTTAATAATGTTCACAGGAGTCCGTCGTTCGATCCTTTAGAACATATGATAATCGCCGAAATAACCCACGGGCTATTTTTGAGCTATTATCGTACATCCTTATCGGCAGAACGTCGGACTCACGTAATCTGTTGTGGGTCGTATAGTTCGAATGGCGAAACCCCTTAAAATATAGAAACAGTTAACTTTAATTACGCGTCTGTGTTACACACATGTACCAAGTATTTTATGCATAGCTGCTTGTTACCATCACAATATACATCCTTTGTCTGGATACACGGAGGTATACAACGTGATTGAAGGATGTTATATACGTCACAATTTAACGATGGATATGTCTCCTCATTTTTAGTACCTTAGGGGTAAAATTGTGCCCTGAAAAAGGGCCCAAGAGGGCGAACTGGTGGACAACAATAAATTTAGAAACCATGCCTCTTCACCTGTTGTGATTGACTTCTATGTTTTAAAAGTATTTTATGTAATCAACCTGACAGTATACATCATACATTGCATACCTCTACATTTGTACATGTAATAAAAAATCACTCCTTACCCATCTTAGAGAATTTCTGACAAAATATCTTGTATTTATATAACAGTATTTGTTATAATTTGGCATTTACTTTCAGTTATTTTTCTTTGCAGGCTGGTAGAAAAGTAACGTTTCGTAACATGTCGTCCAGTGCATGTCTAAAGAATGTGCTGATATACAGAGGAGAGGGTGCTAAAGAGGAAAATGTTGAGCAACTGTTGAAACAAATATCAAAATATGTATCACCAGATAAGTACAAAGTCAGGACCATTTCTGCTGAAGAAACCAAACAAGGTATAGATTCAATTATTTCATTCCTTGAAAGTAATTTGATACTGTTTATAATGTTCAAATTTTTGGGTAAAAAAATTTTGTTGGAAAGAAAACGTATTTGTGGTGAGGTATTTTGAATTGTCATTGAGCTTGACAAAGATTAAATGTCTAACCTACAGATTGTACGGAGACTTGACAAGTTCCCTATCCCATCTCATTTGTATTATGATGTAATATGATTCATACAGAGAAGAAAAGTTCTCCAATGTTTGCCCAACTGCAGCTGAAGATCCAAGGTGCATGACTAAGCATTACATACCTACCCAAATTGGTTTATGTTTCTCAGGAGACAGGTCTGTGCAACTGTGATTGTGTCCATGGACAAGACAATTTACCCTTATTGCTCTGAATACCATACAACAAGACTACTGTATGTTCAGCGAGGTAGCCACCTGTTATTTCAGGAAACCCAACCTCAAATTAATCCTGGCTGTTCACAGAGCTATCTAACCAGCCATTAGAACTAGAACTGTCATCCTGAGAATAACTTATACACTAGATGTAAAGAGTTTAAACCCAATTATGGCCTAACATTAGAGAAAAAAGAGGTCAATGATGTTAAATAACTACAAACCATTAATCACAAAATTGACCTAAAAAGGAAGGCACTGAATTGCTAAGAAAGCCAATTAGCTTATGTTATATTATGAAATGTACATTGGTTACATTTAAAAAAACACAGTTCAAACAATGACTCAAGTATTACTAATTTGGAGCCTCCATTATATTTCCTTAAATTTCTGTAATTTCAATATTTTAGGAGCTTGGACATCAACCACAGCTTTATATGTGATAGGAGGAGGGTATGATCTGGGTTTCATTAGAGCACTTGGAGATGAGGGTACGCTGAAAATTCGTGATTATGTACGGGCTGGTGGCAGATATCTAGGTATTTGTGCTGGGGCTTACTTTGCATGTAACAGCATAGAGTTTGACAAAGATGGCCCACAGCAGGTGTGTGGAGACAGAATACTTAAGTTTTTCCCAGGTAAGTTTTTCATGGTATTCAGTTTTCAGAATTCATTATTTTCCAGCTTGGAACAACTAACAACTTCCCTGAAACCTATTCCCGTATATCATGTAAACAACAGCACTGCAGACACACAGTGACAAAATAACCACACTGGGGACATGATGATGAACAAAGATGTGACACTGAAGACATAAGAAACACAGAATTATTAAATATCCACTCTGACAAAATAGCCACATTCAAGTAACAATATTGATGATGACAAAGTAGTCATACTGAGAAATTGTGGTAAATAACTAGCGGTACCCTACAGACATGACTACAATGACCATGTTTAATCTTAGTCAGGTGATAAAGAAATAATGTTTTTGTTTCGATTTCCTATTTTGTAGATTTACTTAGCTGATATATTCTTCTAAAACCAAAGTTGTAGACTTGATACTTTGTCAAGATTAACACAGTATCAACTGTTGTATAAACTATCTCTTTTAAAGACAAATATGTTGGTCTTGTTACTACAACAGCAATGTAATAATAATAGACTTCATTTATTTTACAATTGCGAAACAAGTTTTTCCAGCTTATATTAATCACTCTTGTTGGCCGGGATAAATGCACATGAGGGGTCTTATTGTGGGGGAAAACCAGAGTACCCTTGATCTTAAATTTAATCAAGGTCATTCATATGAATAAACTTGGTAGCCATTCATGCAGCATGTTACAAGCCAATATCATTACACCTGGCCTTTCAATGATTTAGAAGTTGTTTAAAGGGAGAATTTAATGCTGGGCAGGTGGGCTTAAATTACAGGTAAACATGCGTTTGTTTTGTGTGCTATGACCCATACAACTACATGTACAATATGGTGGCAAGTTCCACTAGCATTCTATCTATACATTAGAGCCTTGTTGTATTGGATATGTATTACAGCTGAGTGTGTTTGGGTTTATGTAACAAGTGTTAGTATTGGTTTATAAATTACAGGTGTATGTGTTGGCCCTGTCCATGGCCCCTACAACTACAATATCAAGATCAGTGCCAGAGCAGTTCCAGTTGAATTCTCAGACCCTTACTGGAGCCCTAAACAGAGCATCTCCTTGCTTGGTTACTATAATGGTGGCGGGATGTTTCTGCCACAGGAGTTGTTCAACAGTAGTAAAATTACTAGAGACTCGGAAAGCTACGACCAAGACCTTAGTGGTGAGGATGACAAAATTCGTCAAGAGGCCAAGGACAGACGTGTTGGGTGTACTGGAAACGAAAACAGAAGTAAAACAAGATGAAAGCTTTAATTACAAACAATGCGGAACTGTAGAGAATATTCTTTGTCATTTTTCCGAGGTCAAAGGTCAGCCGTTAGGGGCCATAACATGTAAGGTTGGTGATGGATTGGCAGTATTGTCGGCCTTACACCTGGAGGTGGACAGTCAGAGTCTGGACGAACAGGACAAATTCTTACAGCCCATTATCTCAGAGCTGACGCCGTATGAGGGGCAACGAGAGAGGTGTTTTGGATCTCTCTTACATCATGCTGGACTGGACATTTTGATATGTTGAAACAGGAAGGACCGAAATAAATGAGAGTTGCAATCTACATTTACTACTGATGTGTTCCAATATTGTTACTCACTTTGATGTAGTTGTTGAACCTTTGTAATTAACTGGATTGTATACAGTGGTTAATGAGTATTGAATGTGACATTGTAATGTCTTGATATGGCATTTATGGTTGCTAAAAATGACACAGCTTTGCAGGCTAATGTCATAATGTATGCTTGCACAAAATGCAAAAATAGTCAGGAATTAGTTTATAATCCTACATTGCAATGTACTTGATCATTTCATGTTTATGTCTTATCAGTTTACCCAATGCCTGTGTCTGAACTTGTCCTACAACATTAGCTTTTGGGATATCTGTGGACAGTCATGATACATTTTGAATGTTGTTGGGAAGCAAAACATTAGATAGAAAACACAAAAGCTTTGGGCAATTATAGTGTGGGAGTGGATTGAAAAACTACTACCTTTGTTTTTGAAAGAGTCTGCCTAAAGTATGAATAAATAAGGAACTGTTTTGAAAACAACAACATGTATATTATCATGTGCAATTGTTTATTTCTTTTTCTGTTTAATCTACAACAATAATACATAGGTAAGCAAGTGATGATAATTATAACTGGCAACAGAAGATATGTTAAAATGAATCTGTGTACAGATACTTTAACACCAACTGTGGTTGGTACAAATGTATGCAGTACAAAAGGATGTGATTACTTTCTATTTCAGATTTTTGAGCAAAACACATCAGCCTTTATAGAGGCTTTCAGCAGTGAAATATTTTATTTCATATTGTCTTCATCATGTCATTCCTTATACATATATGTAATTCTATATTTATTGAAAATTATTGATGAATTAGTTTTAAAAAATGTTAATGAATTGGAATGTGTACTGGTATATGACATGTTATCATTTGAAAATAAAATTAAAAGAATAAGGTAATGCTTACATTTTAAGTACACTAGATTTTTCTTATATCTGACCAAGGAAAACAATACCAAATGTTTTTAATGTGTCTATTTATAGAAAGAATAAATTAGTTATTATAGTTTTATAAAACTTGCATCCTTCTCATACAGTCAATATTATTAATGTGGGTAACAAATTCTTCAACAAATAAAATTATTTTCCATCCAGGGTAAAAACAATGATATGTTTTTTTGCAATGATGAGATTCAACAATCACCACATGTAAGATGGTGATTACAGTGACAGGCATCTGTCAGACAGTGCCAATAAAAACTTAATGAAGCTCTCACTACTATTAAAACAGAATGTATCACAGGAGACAATACCCACAAGATGAAATCTTAATTGATAGAAAAATTTCTCCAAATTGAAAATATACATGTATGAAATTTGTACATGTCAAATCCAACCCAGTATCCAACTTTTGACACATATTACTAAAATTCCTGAACTCTGTAACAGCAGTGATGTAGAGCGATATATTAGTATATATCCCTGATAACAATATTGCTGCCTTGGTATAGTCAATTATGGGTGTTTTACAAAGATAAATATAACACTGAAATTAGCAGTAGCTCCTTTGAAAAGTAAACAAAAAAATACATACTGTATATATGTACATAGTATAGTTTTAGATGTAAACTGTTTACCCTTCACTGCTCCATACACATTACACAGTTAACCAGGAGACATGTTGGAATGGGACCTATGGTTGTACATTGTGTGATAAATATAAATTTTCACTGGTGCCTGTACAAGTTACCATAACAAAACAGGAACTTTTGACAATCTGATAAGTCTAGCATCCCATTCTCACATGATGAAGTAATATATATAACACACAGAAGAGACTTTAAAACTTAACAAACCAACCATGTATTTAAAAAAATGTCTATATCACAGCTTTGCTATATTGTGTGTCTCACACATATTGCAAAAATACATGTCAATCTAACTTAAAAACAACAGGTACTCACTTTCAATATTGAACCTAATACTCCACATATACTAGGTACTTTTTTGTACTATTGTGATTTTAACATAACAAACCCGAATCAATGCTCCATATTTATAACAATCAAATCTCTATGGACACAACATATTAAAAGAATAGTAACACAATAAAATGAAAAGCTTTAAGCAAAAAATGTAAAAACAGGAAAACTACCAACAAAGAATTCAAAATATGTAATGCTTCTTTTCACATAGGTAAATGATATATCTTCTACATGTCCTAATGTTGCTGCTGTAAAACCGATGAAACAAATAAGTGATTTCATGTTTTCCATCATTGGTCAATGTTAGTTTCCAGTTTATTTCTGTTCTATACATATACATGTACCAATAATCATTACTTGTGTAATTGAATAATGTTATAAATAAATTACAATGTGAAATGTTTATACATATCAATACTGCTATGATAAAAACCTGAATTTGAAAGATTTCTTCTTTCCATTGTACACAGTAAAAGCAAGTAGAAACAAATCCTTTCATATTATTAAATACCTGTAGTCTTGTTTGGATCAAATATTCCTTAAATAAGTTTTTTATAGAATATTTTGTCTATTTGAATAATGGAAAAAAAAAATTTCCTTCACCCTTTCTATGATAACTCATAGAATCAAGTTCCCTGTCATCAACCTGAAATCTTTTCTTTGAGGAAGAGAACATATATGTCACCCACCAACTTTGTCTGAATTTTCTTTGTCATAATACTTTGTTTGCTTTATTAACTTGAAGTGAAGTAGACTGGTAAAATATGGACTACATAGTGTATGAACCACAGACAATTTAGGCAAATGTTTCATATGACTTCCTGAAATCATCTGAAGATTTTAACAGACTGTTGCGATAATCCACCAATTCATCCCAATGGTTTTCATGTTTCATCAATTCTGTATTTTTACTACACTCATAGTGGAAGTCTGGACCTTTAGACTCATACCTGCAATGTAAAGAATGAATGTATTAATAAGAACCTCTTCATCTTTGAATTTACCTTAGTTTTTCATAATGACAAAATTGGGGCACAACATCACTGGGCCAACAAACTAAATGTTACTTTAAATGGTATGGTCCACTCCCCTGGAACAAATTCGTGAGACTGAAGAAGAAAAATGGAGACCAATCTTTATAAATAATACTCTGTAAGATGTCCCTCCACCCCCACCACACACCACCACTCATCCTCAAGATCTCCACCCCCACCACACACCACCACTCATCCTCAAGATCTCCACCCCCCCCCCCCACACACCCCACTCACACACCACACACCACCACTCATCCTCAAGATCTCCACCCCCACCACACACCACCACTCTTCCTCAAGATCTCCACCCCCCCCCCACACACACCACCACTCATCCTCAAGATCTCCACCCCCCCCCCCCACACACCACACACCACCACTCATCCTAAAGATATCCACCCCCCCCCCCACACACCACCACTCATCCTCAAGATCTCCACCCCCACCACACACCACCACTCATCCTCAAGATCTCCACCCCCCCCCACACACCACCACTCATCCTCAAGATCTCCACCCCCCCCCCACACACACACACACACACCACTCATCCTCAAGATCTCCACCCCCATCACACACCACCACTCATCCTCAAGATCTCCACCCCCACCACACACCACCACTCATCCTCAAGATCTCCACCCCCCCCCACACACACACACCACCACTCATCCTCAAGATCTCCACCCCCATCACACACCACCACTCATCCTCAAGATCTCCACCCCCCCCCCCCACACACACCACACACACCACCACTCATCCTCAAGATCTCCACCCCCCCCCCCACACACACACACACCACCACTCATCCTCAAGATCTCCACCCCCATCACACACCACCACTCATCCTCAAGATCTCCACCCCCACCACACACCACCACTCATCCTCAAGATCTCCACCCCCACCACACACCACCACTCATCCTCAAGATCTCCACCCCCACCACACACCACCACTCATCCTCAAGACGTAGCTCTACCTAAGCCTAATAGTTATCAAATGTGAGATGGCCAATGTGATATGTTAAATTTTAACTTTTCCAATTGATACAGCATAACAAACTTAATTGGTCTCTTGTTAAAATTTCATTTCTGAGAGAAAAAAAACAACAACAAAAAAAATACCATCTAGGGTTTGGTCCACGAATCCGTTCTATTTCTTCAAAGCGTTTCATCTCCAGCAGCCTATCCTGCTCAATACGTAGACGTTCCATACGTAGTCTGGCAATCTCTGGCTGGTATGGGGAAGTAATCACTTTTGATGACAAGGCTTTGAAAAAGAAATGGACAGTTTTGAGTGAAAACAAAATATATGTATATATATATATATAAAATGATTTCATTGCAGTGTAAAATTTTAAAAAGTACAAATTTAATTTTGGACACAAACCATTCCAAAAATCTCAGAGTTTAAGAGTGATATAAACTTGTTTCAAAGGAATCAGTTTGCTTATCAATTGTCAAATTCTGTGATAGATATTGATATACTGATGAGGCAATTGTCTCTATCAAATCAGATTACTGTTTATTGTTGTTAACAACATTTATCATTACATTTCTTGGAAATTTCATATAAGAAGTGATCCATGATTAGCAGCATACTACAGAAACAAAGAGCATAGTATGTAAAGAAAGGGTATCAGATATCTATATCTAAGAGAACAAAGAAAATAAGAATTGTCCTACTTCTTTTCAGCTTAGTAGATTAAAATAGTGCAATAAGGTACCTATAGGATGTGTGACAGAATTATCATAAAATACAATTATATCTGTAATCTGTGTTGTGGGGAAAGAGCCATAATTTCTCACTTGCATTTGATTTTGATTTTGGAAATGACTATAGTTCCATTACTATGGTATATCTTAATTTTTGTTCGTCTTCAATAAATAATAACTACAAACATTTTACACTATCACTTTCTCAAATACAGGTCATTATACCCAAATTAGTACATTTTTGTTTAAGGTTTCTCACTGATTTAGGGTTAACTAAAGAGAGCCTAAAACTTCATTAATTTGAACAGATTATATTATATTACAAACATTTCTTTTCCCACAAAGTATCTATACAGTAAACAAAGCATATATATGTGACTTCTTTTTTAAGTTTTAAGAAATGGTATTTGTAGATGTTTTACCTGTAGCTGGGGCCTCAGATGACATAAGAAACATTTTGTCTACATCACTCCTGGTGAATGGGCCCACTTTTGACTGGGATTTACTAGGCTTGGAAGTTGTAAAACGTGGAGCAGATTTAGGTCGTATGCTGTGTTTTTTTGTGGAAGGAACATTGATATCTAAATAAGAAAGTTCATAAGGAGCAGACATAGTGACAGGGAAGAATCTGAGAGACAGAGAGTCATTGGTACTAAGAGGGTACTCTATCTTTTCCTGCTTTGTAAATTCCTCCTCTTCATCCATCTCACCTTTGTAGGGATTACTTGTCTTGTATTTGTTGGTTATGTTTTGAGACATCCAGGAGTTTGATCTGTTTAACCAATCATTTTCATTTACCCTTAATGGCTGACCTCTAAAGCTCAAGTCTGAACTCTGTGAGCGGAGTTGGGATAATTCATCTTCAGTGTTAATGAAGTTTGTGAGAGACTTATTGCTAAATTCTTTGGATTGCAATTTTTTGCTGAAAGAGACACTTTTGTCAAGATTTGCACTGAGGTTTCCTAAATTATTTGCTATATCTCCCAGGGATTTGACATAGTGTCTGTCACTGTATTTTGCTGGGTTAAACATTGTGTGTTGACTTGTAAGCCTTGTCGAAGAATTTGTTATTTGGGAATTGGTCAAATAAGCTGGTTTTTCCCTGAAATTAGAAAAAGAAATGCTTAATATTGTTGTAATGTATTATTCGCTCATCTAAACATATCACAAATGTACACAGAAAAGAACAGTATAATGAATTTTGTTTCAGATAAGAAATGGAAATTTTTTCAAAGAAAAAAAATTAAATAGAACCTTATTGAAGTTCTTTTCCATTTTTTTCTTCTCTCTCTCTGTTTTTCCTTTTATTTTAAGCACACCTGTATAAAGCAGTATCAACATCCTTAAATTTGTAACTAGAACCATGCAAACAATATTTTTTATCAAACAATCCATACTAGCTCTTTTTTTATCTAATGGAAAGGAGAGTTGTAACTTGTTTTGTAGCAGCTCTTTATTTGTGTGACAAATTTATAACTGAAGTTTCAAATGATTTCTTGATATTTAGACAGAACTGTATAATGTGTATAGAGTAGAATGTACACAATGCAAAAATTAAGATAACTTTATGTTCACAATTTAAATAGTTTGTTTCAATGGCTAGTATTATCAGAGACGTGATATATACATCTCTGGTATTATTAGGAAAACACATACAGTTTATCAAGAATAAATAACTGATGCAGTGATACCACCAATGTGTTGTGAAAGTCAAACATTTATGTTTTGAAGATACTGTACAAGTTAGGTCTATGGTTTTTACACTATATATTTCGCTGCGTTTCAAATTTAGCAAATTGACTGTTATATCTTAATAGAAACTTCTGTGTCTGTTGCCAGAAAATTAGATTAGCTTAGACATACTTCTTTTGTTTGAACAAGCATTAACATATCTTAAATTTCCCGCCTTTCTAAGTATAGTTAAATACCGGTAAGTTATTATCAGCTGACGAACATATCGACTGATGCAAGATATTCAACAACTACAAAAAAAGCAAACAAATCATACATTCCAGTTTCATATCACGGGAAAAAATGCATTAGAAAGTTCTTTAAGTTTTTTTTTCTATCATTGGGAAATTGCAGAATTCTGCAGATGACAATTTGACATTCAAGAATGCAACGTTCTTTGCTATCGATCCTTTTATATTTTGGCAAAAAGTACTAAAGAATGCATAATCCTCATTTACCAGAAGGAAGAAGAGCGTCCATGCAAGACGAAATCTTCATCTGGATTCCTGAAGCCTGGACTTCGTCTGAAACTTGCTGTCGACATATTTGTTTACGGAAGTGAAAGTGATTAGAAACAACGCATGCGTGTTAAGACTTCCTCTCTTAGCAATAATCTGTGTCGACTGTGCTCTTCAATCCATAACAAGTTTTGACCTGTGTTACAAGGACATGAAAGACGTGGAAATAGCAAAGGCGTGCAATAGTGCTGAGGTACGGACGGAAAATAAGACTTACTTTACTCATCAGAACTGAAAAAGTATATTAAAACCGAGTTCGTATTGAGGGAACAGAAGCACAGATACCATGGCCGATCCCGAAAGATTTGATGGAATGTTGCTAGCAATGGCTCAGCAATGCGAAGGCGGAGTGAAAGAGGTATGGTAACAGGGAACAGTTACTTTGCATTTTTCCTGAAATTATTGGTGATGTTTGAGATATACAAGTACAGTAGTTTGATTATATATAAAAATACATCACTACATGTCTATATATTTACAAACTACATAATAATTACATTAGTAGTAGAGATTACATGTGACTGTGTACTGCTACCTAATTATTCAGTTGTGAAAACGAAACCATAACCTATGTTCTAGATTTTTCTGTGAACAGATCATGATTCTAATAAAAAGTTATCATTCTTTTTATTTGACCGATTGATCAATATGCATTTATTTGTTAAATAAAGTATAATCTAAACAAGATGTTGATTGCAAATTGCAGGCACACTGAAAATTTGTTCCGTTTTCTGTTAATGGGGCTGGGCATGACACAGCACATGTGTAATACAAGTGATCTGCTGTGTTGTCTGCATTTGAGGGATAGTTGCTGCTGTAACACAATGACTAAACACAGTGTTTACTTGGGTTGACTGAAACGTTTATTTCATCGTATAGTGGTTTTCCATAGTTAGTACTTCGCGTTAATATTCATTACAAAAGATAGTTCCTAATCAACATACAGCAGCATGTCGTGGCACCAAAAATAACCACCTGTGTAAGGCAGACAAAAACTAAACACTTGCCCGTCCATATCAAAGAGTTCCATACAAATGTCCATGGGCAAACTTGGCCAGGGGCAGGTCCCATATGGGACTCTGCCCGCTCCACGTCCAACTCCCAACTCTCTCTAGCTACTCGATCCCAGATTCGACTAGACTTCTGCTGGCTATTGTCTTTGTATAAATAATACCCAAATACTTAATTTCAGCCTAGTCCCAATTGGACAACAGCCCCCGGAGCATCTAATTATGAGGGCACGTGCGACTAGGAGTACCGTTATCAACTTCCCGTCTTTGATCTACCTAATACATTGTTTCTTATCTTGTTTACATACAAATATATTCGCCAGCGCGAGACATACAAAAGAGAGCATCTATCTGTCATGATCAATCATACTGGCTAGATTCTGCCACAGTGCTTCACACTGGGGTACACACCCCACCCATTATCAGGCGTGCATCACTACCTGTCACTCACAGGATTTTTACCTTGGTCCAGTATTGACTGACTTTTTACCTGATGTACTTTAAACTAAGATGCTGCTCTCTACGATACACATCCTTCCAAAGTTACTATTAAATCCATTTTTTACTCATTTTGTTACACTGCTTTGTGTAATCAAATTAGTTACCCAAATGCAGGCTCATCTCAAATAGAAACACAAAAAGTTCTTTTACATTCATGTATTTGCAACATAAAAAGGGCGTCATCTTTTGAACATGACATCAACATTGTATATATTTGCATGAGAAAATTAATTTGTGTTATCTGACTTTGTGCTAAAATGAGAATTTGTATCACTGATTTTGTTCTTCATTTGCTATAGTGTATAGAAATTGGGAACTATTAGTGTAAATGTCATAGATGGGCATGAATTTACACGTATTCTATCTTTGGTCACATTATAGGCAGTGGAGATTATAAAGATTGTGTTCTTTACCAAAAGTGAAACTATCAAATTATTCAGCTTTTCTTTAAAAATGTACAATATTGCATTGGTTAATGGGCTACATCCAAAAATATGATGCCCATTTTTGTTGCAATTGTATAAAAGAACTTAATGTAATTTTATTTCAAATGATACTGGATTTGGGGAACTTAATGATTACTTAAAGTGGTAATATTCCCTCAAATGCAGGACTATTACCCATACAACACATCCAGTTTAATTTACAATGCACCTTTGGAGATGTACAATAGTTGGAACCAACACATGTACATGTCTAAATGATCTTAAAAACAATAATGAGTCAGGTAGTACCTGGAAGAGAGAAGGTTATACGCCATAATGATGTTCTGTAGATGACAGTATCACAGGAAATATAACACAAGGAAGTGTTGATTGACTTGTTAGTGGCTAAAGAAATTAAGAGAAATTGGAACACTACAGTGAATGACTGCGATATTGTGACTTCATGATTTTGGTTTCAGTTAAACACCTTGTACTTAAAGAAAAAAAAAATTCTAATTTATGTGAAATCACACTTATGTTTAGTAAAAAGTTAAAGTATCTTAAACAACTTCAGGAAAGTAAAAATGTTGTTGTAGTTTTTTCATAAAGATAAGCTTCAGGAAGTGCAGAGCACCTATGCTCAATGCCTTTCTACTACTGAAAGATTTTTTTTCATTGTTGCTTCATGGCCTGTTATGAATTGAATTATCTCCCAAATACCGGTAATAACAATATAGAGATCTGCTCAGACATCTTTAACTGTTATTGCGTGGTACACATAAACAATTGTATATATAAAAGACTTTTTATGTACGGAGAAGAAGTTTTTAATAGTCTATGATACAGTAAAATTACAATTTCCACTACAAGCTAATCACATCACTAAGTGTGTTCCTGTGTAATCAGCGGACTAAACCTTATTTGATTTAATTTGATATTGTTTCAACTTTGAAATATTACAAGTGTGAGAGAATTTTGTAAATGATACGGTTGCCCTCTAGGTTCACACTTAGAGATAATTAGAGAAGGTTCCCCATGGTCCCAGGCTACACCCTCTTGAGTTTGGGACTGATAAGAAAAATAAAACTGCAAACAGTCGTCCATCTTTGATTTGATAGTAAGATTATTATTGCTGTTTTTTTTGAGAGAGAGGAATTTTAAGATTTCGTATATGTATGATTAAGAGGAAAGAAGTGGAAAGATCCAACTTGTAAAGACGAAATGAAGATTAAACATTAGTATGCACAGAGAACCCTTGAGATCTCTTGGTTAATGCCCTTGATTCAGATTTAGAGTAAAGGCTGTAATAACAACAAACTTCAGCACCAAATTTTTCTTTCTTGAAAATTGATACTTTTATACTGGAAACAGGACTCTTCAATATATTGAGCTACCTCTTCTGTTCATGTTGTTCTTGACGATCGCTTATGTCAAGTCTTGTTATCTTTACAATAAGTCAGAAAAAAAGTAAATGAAAAATGCTATCCCTGTTGTCTTTTTAGTTTGTGTATGATCCAATCATATACCATCATATTAAATCTGGAAGAATGCCCAGATTCTTTTGATAATCTATGTATTTTTTTTAACTGTTTCTTCAGATGGCAGGTGAGCATGATGACTAAAGGCTTTTTATTAAAACCATTTGTGTACATAAAATGCTTAAAGCATTAAAATCTTTTAATTAACCTTATCGTGGTCTTAATTTGAAAAATGTTTAATCCCATTTTTGCTTCATTTATGCAAATATAGCTTTGATATGAATACTGATTTTCTGTTTCAGATTCTGGATTGCGTTTTCAGTTTTTTATCAAGAAAGACAGACTTTTATACTGGTGGAAAGGAAGGTTTAGCTGAAAAAGTAAGATACACATAGAGAGAATAAAATAAATAGAAATAGTAAACATTTATGATGTGATGCAGAAAGATAAGCACATACTCTTGTGCTCAAGACATTTCCAAAAATGTAGCAGGAGTTTTTTTAATCAGTGTTATTATTAAAACTTTTTAATAACCAAAATGTGAAAACTGTACTTACTCTGATAATTCATGATGGATACTTTTATACACATGAATTTCAAGTTACTGAACATATTTTTATATGAATATGATGTCTTGTAAAATATGAGTTTAGCATGTAGAGTTTGTATGCATGTAGAGGTATTTTTTATTTCATCACTTGACTGAAATTTTTTTAATTGATTGGCAAGTGAAATTTTTCTTCGACGAAAATGCTTTCATATTTTAAGATTTGAAATGAAAGAACACAAATTGAAAGCATATTTGACCTTGTTTTATAACTTTTGAATAAGAGATAGCAATTTAGTCAAAATTGTGACCAAATGTCTAAAACATTCTATTGCTTTTTGGAGATTTTACATTTACAAGCTAGAATGTGATTCCTTTCTTTATTAGATTGTTATGGATGCATTCAAAACGTACCAAAAAAGTGCAGAAGAAGAAAAACGAAAATTAAGAGAGGAACGAGAACAGGAAGAAATGCGGAGGAAAGAACGTCTTGCTAAGAAAAAGGCAGAGACAGAGAAAAAAGCTCAAGAAAAAATAGCTAAAGAAGAGGAACCCAAAATCAAGGAACTTACAGAAGAGGAGGCCGAACAACTTCAGAATGAATTAGATATGGTATATTATTGTTATACATTCTCTTTATATTCTGAGGTCTTTCTTGTGACAACAGTTGTTGTAATATTCCCTTGTACATTGTGTAATGTGGAAAAAACAAACCAAACTTTTTGATTAATTTCAACTTATAATCCACTAATATTTTTAATTTGTTATGTAAAAGCCTTTGATAATCCCAAGTGGAAAAATAGTTGGTACTAGCATTTATTTTGGACAATTTGTTCATTAAAAGTCTTATGAGAGAAGATTTGACTGATTTTCCAAGTAATTGTTAAATTTTCTGAAGTTAAGATTACTTTTAATAGGAAAAATCTGGAGAAAAACCAACACCAACAGAAGAGGCTCCAAAGGCAGAAAATGGTGAAAAGGTAAAAAATAAAATACTTGAATGTTCTTGGAATGATATACTTATCTAAAATATATAAAACGAACAGAAAAAATTAGAGAAATTGTGTTATCCTCCTCCTATATAAAAAATGATATAGTTTGATCTTTTTTACAGACTATATATGTAATCATCTATGATTTTTTCAAAGGGAAATTACTTGATTTTGTCAGAAGGTAGGGCTAGTTTTAAGTAGTACCTTGTCTAGAGTACATTTCCTTCAACAAATATCACATATATTTATACTAAATTGATTTATTTAAATATCTGGTCCGTTCGATTAACCTTTCCAGTCAGATGATGAAGAAGATGAAAAGGACAAGGGGAAATTAAAACCTAATGCCGGTAATGGAGCAGACCTGCCTAATTACAAATGGACACAGACACTTGAAGAAATTGAGGCAAGTAATTACCATGATATATACACTGAGATAACAAAGTTTACATTACCACTGAAATTAGGCAGTTATATACATAGGTGAATAGGTTGTCAGTAACAACGATTACACCATCACCTTTAGCAGACTAATTAAAAAATATGGTCCTTTCAGTGTAAAGTCTACGAAACATAGCATTATTCAAAGTTCCTTGGTAATATGTTCATTGTTGGCGTAAATGTACATATAAAATGTAACCATTTACATTTATTTTACTACAATTTAATTGCCATGTCATACATTCTGTAAATTTGGTTTCTTAATGTGCTTGCTTTACTGGTCATTTGTCTGCTCAGGGTGACAGTCATCGAAATCTTGTACCTAAATGATTTATTCATATCTACATGTATTATTCCATAACTGAGAAATAACATGGATGATATAATAGTGTTATTGGGGACAACAGACCTACCCTGACAAAATATAAGATGATGTTTATATAATCACTATCATGAAGTATGAAATAGATTTCACCAGAATAGGATATGGACAGAAAAGGATACACGTTTCTGTTGTGAGAATAACAAAAATTACAGTGGATTATTGATTAGGAATAACATGTATTGATTTTCTGGTTATCTTAACAGCTTAGAGTACCCTTTAATGTTTCGTTCCCTCTGAAAGGAAGAGACATGGTTGTCCAGATTGACAAACGGGTAAGTTTTGTAAGAGCAGTGTTAAACAAGTTTAAATACTTTAAATTCACATGAATTGTAGGAGCATCATTTTTTTTCACCCTTGGCCACCATTCCGTCATAATATTGTTTCCACATATTTACTTTTCTACAGATATAAAACTGTAACTTGGTTTGTTGGTTGTATCCTGATACATGTAATCTTGAGGTAGAGATCTGATTTGGTTATGGTTTGTTGATTATTTCCACAGTTGTAGCCACTTAAAAATTTTGATTAAACTTTCTTTATCAAAATGGTAAGACCAATACTAAAGGGCCTTGCCAAATTCAGTGGGAATTTAAAAACACCCATCAACAAAATAAATAACAATAAAAAGTTCCAAACTTCTTGATTACTGATAGGGATATTGGTATCACTCCAATGTATCCAGTTTCTGACTCTGAATTGAGTATATCTTGTAACGTTTTGTTTGTTTACTGATTGAAAGTTAGACATGTAGTGACTTTAGAAATGAAAATACCATTACAATGTTTTACAAATTGCTGTAAAGGTTGACATTCCAAAGTTAACATGCACCCCAAGATTACAGTGGTATCATAGTAAAACGATTTTATTTTACAGATTTTGTTTGTCATTGCATATATATATATATCAAGTGTATCACCTTATGAACAGTACAGTTGGATTTTATTGAAATATACACATAAACAGAATAATTGTAGAAAAGAAATCTTTATCTGCTCATCAACAATCTGTAAACAAAAAGGACTTCCCTTCTGTATCATTTGTGACAATGTTCTCACTGTCATTTCTGCCCATCATCATGAATGAACTGCCAATTACAATGACAAAAAGACAAAGAAATATTCAAACAGGTATCTGTTATTGTCAGAATCATTAATTGATTGTGGAAGTATAATGATGACAGTACTGTTGTAGCACATCAAGGTGGGACTGAAAGGACATCCTCCTGTGGTCGAAGGTGAAACATACAATGACATTAAGGTGGAGGAGTCGACATGGTGTATTTTGGATAAGAAGGAGCTGGTAGTCAACATTGAAAAAGTCAGTCAGCATTGTATATTATTGTTTAGTATTCCTTAAGTCAACATTGAAAAAGTCAGATATCATTGTGAATTGTCATTTAGTGCTTTTAAAGTCAACATGAAAAAAAAAAAAGTTTGACAGCATAACATTAATATCATGAGGTGTTTCTATAGTCAACAAAAAACAGTGTAGTATATTATGATTTAGTGTTTCTGAAGCCGACATACAAAATTTTGAACAACATAAAGTGTTTTTGTAGACATCATAGAAAATATTGATACACCTGTATTAAACATAGTAAAGTGGACATTTTTTGACAGCTAGTCAACACCATATATGTTTGTATCAAAATCAACACAGAAAACTCTGTTGACATCTCATTCAATTTCTCTTTCAACTTCTAAAATTCCGTCAACATCACAGCTGTGGTCCTCATAGAGTTGTGTACCCATAAAGACTATTAAGTCAGCCTAGTAAACATGCAGCATTACATGCCATCTATTTTAAACCTGATTCTAACTGGTTTTGATTCTTGCTGTCCTCTTGTCTAGATAAACAAAATGGAGTGGTGGAGTAGGATAGTCACAACAGATCCTGAAATTAATACCAAGAAAGTTTCGCCTGAAAACTCCAAGGTAAACCTACAGCTTTGAAACCTGTTCATTACCTCAAAATATTCACTTTATTTCTTAATAAAATTGCAAACCACAAATTATCTTTTTCTTTTTAACACTCTGTGACATTTTAGATTTTTGTAGGTCAGTCGATTGTCAAAATGAAGTGTTGCTCCTTATTTCTAAAGTGTAACATCATACATTATGCTATTTCTTTTGTAACATATCTGCTTGGACAAGTTTGTATCAAAGATATGCTTGGGACTACAATGTAATTTTTGAAAATCAAAAAACTACTTTCTGTTTGTCAAACAGTTGTCTGATTTAGACGGGGACACAAGATCACTAGTAGAGAAGATGATGTACGATCAGCGACAGAAGGAGATGGGTCTGCCAACCTCAGAAGAACAGAAGAAAGCAGACATTATGAAAAAGTAAGTTAACATATGTACATATAAACATCATATCCACTGTTTATCCCATCTGGTAACAGTTTATTGTTTCTATTTCCATTTTTAGACATGTATATCGATCAATGAAATGAAAACACGGAATACAACGTTTGAATTTCCCGCTTATCATAGGGTTGACGTCATCAGATCAGTTAACGGAAGGAGCAATGGTATAGTTCCTTAAAATATAGTTCCATGTGGAGTAAGAAGAAAAACCACATACAAACAAAACCTTTGTGATGATGACTTTTATTTGGAATGCTATTGTTATATTTAAATTAATTTAAAGTAATAAAACACAACTATAAAAAAAAAGACGAGTAGCTATGCGACCAAATATATGGTGTAAACAGTAGTGAAGCGTCAAACCATGAGGCGATGCCGCCATGTTGGATATTGTTGAACGTTCAGAAATGTGTCTCTGTCTCACTTTCCAAAGTTAATAGTGCAACCATGAAGTGTTGCGTTTGTGAAGAAGCCAGGTGTGGACATCATCGCTGTATTAGACTGAAACGTAATCTGAGACGGAGCTGTCTAAGAATGTGTATTCATACACTTGACCAGATGGGCGTGTATAGCCTGATATACTCCCATCTGGTTAACATAGAGTTACAGGGGAAAATGATAGTAGAATGGAAATATATTAGAATGCCTGCCTTTTTAATAGGTTGAAATTATAATTACAGACGTTTAGAAATGAAATTGTAGATGAATTATTCAAACACCTTTAATTATGTTAGACCCATTAACTATACCTGTGACTCTATGATCACAAACGGTTTTTTTTCTTTGCAGATTTATGTCACAGCATCCAGAAATGGACTTTTCCAAGTGTAAATTTAACTGACTGCCTCTATAAAGGCAACAAATATTGATAGAAAAGGCGACACTACAGCACGTTTGATTCTAGTTGTGAATGTGAAAACATGACTATTCCTGTATATCATGAATGATATCACATCAAGGAGCTGTAGTATTCCTACCAGTGGGTATTACATATACATCCTGCAAGGATCAAGAAATAATCTGTAACATGAACAGAAAAAAAACTTTATACAGCCAGATAACGTGTTCCTTAACTACTGATTGATATATGTCTAATTCAGTGTTAATAGTATGTAACATTTCTGTGTAAAATCTTGATTCATTTAATTCATGTTTATCATTGATTACATAATAAGTGAAGCACACTCAATTTTCACTTTTTTATTAGGGCGCTGAATTGGATTTGAAATAAATGTTAAATGTTATATGCAGTGTTGTCTTCTATCTTCACATAAACGTTATGTTATGGATCTTTATTTTTTATTGATTCAAACATAAAATTGACATACATAAGGACGGAGGTGCAGCTATAAATTAAATTTGAAAAAGATCCATTCAGTATATCTCAGGAAAAAGCAATAACATTATTTACAGACAAACCGACCATGGATATAGGGTCATTTGAAAAGTCCACCATATGATGGTAGTTAAAATATATACCATAGCATGGAGGTCTGAAGTTAGTCATCCTGGTATTTTCTTTGCCAATAAATACCTTAGCAACTTGGGCTATGATGAGTTGTTTAATCCTTGTATTGAATTGATGCACACACCTTTTGTACATTGACTTGGTAGTAAATCATCTACACTGGAACAAGTGGTGTTGAAGAGTATGTAGTGTTTCAAGTGCATATGGTAAAAGGTTTTTATTCATTTTCTTATCAAAACAATACATTATTGATATGTTTGAAAGTGGAATGAAAAGACTTTAAATCCGCAATTTACATGTCATTTAGCAAATTCACAAGATTCAGAAAGTTTCTGAGAAAACTTCTACTTGAAAAAAATATGAAACTATTAAAAAAATTATGCAAAGACAATATTAAAACATACATAACACTTAATTGAAACAAATCGAAAATAATAAAACTGGTCCCCAATGAAAATATAAACCGATGGTTTACGAAGTTCCGCCTCGAAGAAAAAACGCGACTAATTTGCATACTCGGATTTACAGGTGTAGTAGGTGCATTTATAGAAAACGTGTGGTGTTGCACGATTTTCGTGATGGTCCAATCACAGGTAGAATGCAGGTATATTGCTTGCTGTGTAGTCTGATTAGGAACATTCACGGAAACGTTTAAAGTTTTCCCGACATCTATATTAATACAAACCCAAGGTATCGTCTTCGGTATTTCTCAGATTAGTTAATTCTCACTATAGCTATATAAACAATCTTTTCCATTTTTGTCGTAAAAGTTGGGTATATTGTGGCTTTAAAGCCGTTGGTATTTGTATTGGTGACCTGTATAAAATATTCAGGCTTAATAGATCAAATGCTCGTTAAGGGATGATACAAGTCCTTTTTTTTAGTAATTCTTTTATTTTTTGACATGTTTTTACATATTACACGATACACAATATACAAGAGAAACCACACAAAAACATACACCCACACTCTCACACTTGTGTGCTCTATATATATACTTGAATATGATACAAGTCTTAATTTTAAGTGTTTGATTCTGTGGGAAACATGCTAATTGGTCGGATCATTTCAGTCACCTGATATCACTCGGTGACAATGACATCAACGCCCTGACTCATCAAATTATTTAGTTGAATTACCTTAATACTTACTAATATTAAAGATTCAAGTTATAAAATAATTCAAGCACATCACATCATCTCTAGACAAACACTCTTATCGTGTTAACCTACGTTATATTCCCCACTTATAGCGTAATGTTTCCATTGTAACTGAATCCAATACTTTATCACTGTCTGCATAGAGTCCATACTGAACATCGTGTTTAGAATCAAAACGACCCATAAACCTTCTGTCAACCGGTTCAGAGGCAGGCTGCCATCTACAAATGAAGAGGGTATAGATGAAATCGTTATAAACAGTGAAGAAATCAGTATAAACAGAGAAGAAATCAGTATAAACAGAGAAGAAATCAGTATAAACAGAGTAGAAATCATTATAAACAGTAAAGAAATCGAAATAAACATTGATTGAAGAAATCGTTATAAACAGAGAAGAAATCATTATAAACATGGAAGAAATCGTTATAAACATTGATTGAAGAAATCGTTATAAACAGAGAAGAAATCATTATAAACATTGATTGAAGAAATCGTTATAAACAGAGAAGAAATCGTTATAAACAGAGAAGAAATCATTATAAACATTGAAGAAATCGTTATAAACAGAGAAGAAATCATTATAAACATTGATTGAAGAAATCGTTATAAACAGAGAAGAAATCGTTATAAACATTGATTGAAGAAATCGTTATAAACAGAGAAGAAATCAGTGTAAACAGAGAAGAAATCAGTATAAACAGTGAAGAAATCAGTATAAACAGAGAAGAAATCGTTATAAACAGAGAAGAAATCATTATAAACATTGATTGAAGAAATCGTTATAAACAGAGAAGAAATCATTATAAACATGGAAGAAATCGTTATAAACATTGATTGAAGAAATCGTTATAAACAGAGAAGAAATCATTATAAACATTGATTGAAGAAATCGTTATAAACAGAGAAGAAATCATTATAAACATGGAAGAAATCGTTATAAACATTGATTGAAGAAATCGTTATAAACAGAGAAGAAATCATTATAAACATTGATTGAAGAAATCGTTATAAACAGAGAAGAAATCATTATAAACATGGAAGAAATCGTTATAAACATTGATTGAAGAAATCGTTATAAACAGAGAAGAAATCATTATAAACTTTGATTGAAGAAATCGTTATAAACAGAGAAGAAATCATTATAAACATTGACTGCAGAAATCGTTATAAACAGAGAAGAAATCATTATAAACATGGAAGAAATCGTTATAAACATTGATTGAAGAAATCGTTATAAACAGAGAAGAAATCATTATAAACATTGACTGAAGAAATCGTTTGATTGAAGAAATCGTTATAAACAGAGAAGAAACCAACCGTTATAATCAGAGAAAAAATCAGTATAGGTACAAATCTATTGTGTGCGAAATTAAAAGTCTCGTGCAAGATTTAGATGAGAAAACATATGGATTTTTCTAACTCAATACATCTTTCGATGTTGATCTGAAGGTGGAGTAAAACTCCTATTATGCATACCGTGTGTCACAGCTTATCCGTATGAAATCTGTCAAATTGGAGGTCGACATATGGACAGTTCTGCAAGGCAAGGCAAACGAATAAATGACTATTCATACTAAACTACGTATATCAATCCTCTCCCTTGTTTTAAACACAAACTAATTTCGCTTCCTTCCCATCGTGTTTTCGCCCTCTCATTGCTTCGTGTTTTGGTCAAGGAAGTGATGAAGCGATAATCAAAATCGGATCTTAACGGAACATCACACAATTAGTATTTTAAATGCATATTATTCAGATCCATACATTAAATCATATTTAGTTATTGACTAAATTGTTCATGAAATAACTGTTAGGTAACTACGAAAAGGAGGCTGGGACACGATGATATATAAATGATATCTGACGTCACCTCATGGTAAACAGAAGGACGTCTCCAGCCTTGAAATCTGTTGTTTTCCATTGACCGCCGAACCTGGCACTGATCTCATCAGGATCGTGTGTGAACCAGCCGCTCCCTTCAAGTGAATTTCCAGGGATAATAATGAGTATTTTCAATAATGAGATAAATAAATAATTTTGGATTAAGAAATACAACTATCAACTTAATCGCAAATATTTCTGGTCTTTGAATCTCCTTTCAGACCAAAAAACTCAAGTCTTTCAAATAGCTTGAAAAGTAATCACGTTACAGATGGCCACAACAACTGATGACAGTATAGTCACGTTACGGTCTAGTCATCTTCCTTTCACTGTTAGAAGACAATCCATTTGGTAAAACAATGTATACTGGTGTTATTTCTATTTTTTTGAGAAAAGTATCGAGAAAACAAGGATTGTTTTGTTTCACAGCGGAACATTGAATAGACAGATAACGATATGTATGTGACAATGACTATTGATACCTCATAATGCATACCTTTAAGATTGGCGGCTTCGACATCTAAGCTACCGTATGTTTCCTGAAATCGCTTGAAGCTGCAATCAAATGAAAGTATAACAGATCAGTATATCTATATATGATTGACATACTTGTAGTACCATTTCGTACAATATGCTTCATCAGCAGGTCTAGTATACACAGGAGTTCTAAAGTTAACCTTGATTTATTGCTTCAACTACTGGAAGATGAAATAACGTTCAAAACCCAGCTTTATCCGTGGCTTGCCATGTTTTTTTTTTATCACATGACTGTCTTATTCAACTCATATATTCTTGTAATATTTTTGCGTATTGCACGTGTAATATAGTTTATTGTGACGTCAATCTGTAACAAAACTCAGGAAACCATATATGTTGAGCGGACATGACTTGAAGTTTGGCGAACCAATATTTTCCACAATATTTGCCTAAATAATCATGTTATTTAAAGTTCTTAAATTTATTTCATTGTTATATGATTAACGATTGTGAACTCGTAACGATTTTTTTTCATTTTAACTCATCAAAGGCTCATTTGTGGAAAATTTTTAGATTTTTTTCATAAATTCACATATAAGATATAAACTCATGTAAAATCCTATAGTTTATGTATTTATATACCATATCAGACACTACACACCCCTCGAGCTTGTGTGATCCCTCACACATGCAAAGCGTGCCCATTTCCACGTTGACGTCACCGAATGGTGTCCACAACGTCACAAGATTCTGACTGCCACGACCCATGTACACGTTATCCACATGCGCTCCGGTAAACGCGCGACGGTGGATCCCTCTGAAAGAGATATTCTATTTATACAAACGTTAACTGTTTTAATCTGTCAGTATAACTCTTCTAGTCATCAAACGGGCATCGATGTATAGAGAATGCATGGTCATTGTCTTAAAATATAGGCTGTATTATAATACACTGGCTATGTATTCCAATTTTCTCGCAACATTGACTGTAAATCAGAGTAGTGAAAATTAAACAGTGTTGTTGTTTGGTCTATGCCAACTTTACGTTGACGTTACGCCGAATTTTGCCTGATGACGGACGCCAAAATAATTGTTCCACGCATAAATTCCAAACTTTACCGGATACAACAGCGATTTTATGAATTCTCATCAATCAACAAAAAACGTTAGGTCCTTCAATACACGACTCTATGTTAGTTTGTATTTTATTATATCATGCTCTTCATTCTTCAACCACAGCACAAAAATTAAACACAACCATTACACACATGTAATAAGCCTGAATCATTATATAATGAACCGTCGAGTGCCTGTACAATCGCGCACTGTGTATGTGTATGGGTTTTATAAAAGAAATTCAACACGACACCTCGCTGACGTTAGCTGTTGTGTTACTGTAGGTATATTTAAGCCATTGTTCTCACAGGCGTATTTTTGGATTGATTGCGTGTATTCCGCTTCGGTACACCATTACCTGGAAAGCAAGTTAACAGATATATGCATGACTTAATCACTCTGTAAAATACATACACAAAATCTACATGCTACCTATGGGAAACGTGCACTCAGCAGACATCCTGTAGATAGGGAGCTGGCAATTTGTGATAATGAGTGCTAAGGTATTGCGAAGCTATGATCCAATGAGACACTATGTCAACAACGTGTCGGATTTCGACCCAGCCATTGTGAAAGCCTATCGAGACAAGGACTTTACCAAAATCAGAGAACTTCTTCAAGCTGGCGACAAGACGGACTACGATGTTTTCATTTGTGTTAACAGGAACTGGCATGCATTCGTTCTATGCGCGGCGAACAAGGTCGATGAGGAGCTTTTCGCGGATATGTTGTCTACAGACCCGTTTGACATTCCGGCACTTTTAATGGTGAGTGAGTTAGAATTATGTTTCGAAAACGAACAACTTGGGACTTACAAAATCAGGAAAAAGATGGACTTGTTCAAAAACATTGAACATAGAATCGCCAAATCGTATTACATAGGACATTACACGGATGTGAACATCAAGGCTTTCGACTTCGCAGCGTTAAGAGCAGCTCCACATCGGTATAAAGCGCTGCTTGACGATTGTGTAGAATTCGCCAAGGAGTTCTGCATTCAAATGTTGGCTTACTGTGGTAACCACCGCGACTTGGAGGCAGAGGTTAACAGACGTATCTCTGAGGCTACTGCCACAGGGCTCAGCGCAGAGCAGCTTTCTAGGAGGATCAGGAGCTCGGGATGGCTCGGCAACACATTTTTAGGAGGAATTGAGGTGACCAGCGTTTTGACTAGTCAACGGCCGACTACTCTCTTCCTGATCGTGTATACAATATTTGTAGCAGTTGTCGTATCATGTCTGACCGTTTATTTCTTGAAATGATATGGGACTGTATTCCCGTTAACCTGACTTTGTCAAACTATGTAATGTAGCCTGTTATCAATAACACACAACGACACAATAATAGCCATAATGTGTCAGCTTATGATAATGTTTTATCAACAAAATTTATCAGAGATTGGAAAACTAACATTTTGTTTTCAAAGACTCATAGATTCTGGAAAGGTACGCTTGATGTTCTGTAATGTTGTTTGCAGTATGTTTATACAACAAGTGAAAGCAGGCGAACATGGTTTGGTATGACATTTGTAACTATTTTTTTCTCTGAAAACTTCATTTCAAGTATGGAACTGTTGCATTTTACTGATAAAACTTTAAGTCTCGTTTTTTATCCATCTATTTGCAGTTTTTTTTAAAAAATATTTTTCATAACTTTAAGAAATTGTGTTTCCCACAGGCATCCTGATTCAACATTTCCGAAAAAAGCTATCACCCTTTATGAATTGCATAACTTGATGGCCTTATCTATTCTTATAGCGCTGGTCCTGCCCATTGCATTTTGCCTAAGCAAATTTTCTATAAATTATCATTCTTTGCAGTAGAATTTTTATACGGTCAGGATCTTCCGTTAATTCCGGTAATGTCAGTGTCAGTTGCAAGATAAGTTATGTTTGATCGTCTTGTTTACCTGTATTCATTGAACAAACAACTGACCCTCCAGTTCATGGTTATGTTCCGTTATCTTAACGAAATTAGATCCAGTCTAGAGACGCTGACTTACCTTAACCATTTGTAGTCAAAGGTAATACTTTCGGAACCGAACAGCTCTTTGAAGAATTTCTTGGCTGAAGAAAATAAATACGTATGGAATGTTGTAACACTGTAATAACATTTTAGCATCACTGTATGGGCTTCATCCTTTACAAATTTCTGCGTTTTTTTTATTTTGATCGATGATAAACTGATTACCCATACCAATATTCATGTATTATAATACAACATACACGTCTTTCCGAAACATCTGGAGACTCTATTGCCCTAGTGGTATCATCCCCTTGGCCTCTATTGTCCTAGTTGTTTCACCCCCTTGCCCTCTATTGCCCTAGTTGTATCATCCCCTGACCCTCTATTGCCCTAGTTGTATCATCCTCTTGTCCTCTATTTCCCTAGTTGTATCATCCCCTTGTCCTCCATTGCCCTAGTTGTATCATCCCCTGACCCTCCATTGCCCTAGTTGTATCATCCCCTTGTCCTCTATCGTCCTAGTTGTATCATCCTCTAACCCTCTATTGCCCTAGTGGTATCATCCTCTAGCCCTCTATTGCCCTAGTTGTATCATCCTCTAGCCCTCTATTGCCCTAGTTGTATCATCCTCTAACCCTCTAATGCCCTAGTTGTATCATCCTCTAATCCTCTTTTATCCTAGTGGTATCATCCCCTAGCCATCTATTGCCCTAGTGGTATTATCCTCTAACCCTCTATTGTGTTATTGGTATCTTTCCTTAACATCTTTTTCTACATTTGATATTAAAGGTGTACAGTATGGACACAATTTATAACAGAGATGGATTTTCTGATATTATAACCACACATACTAACTTACGCCTTGGACCTTCAAGTACCCGTATTACTTCTTCCGTATGTGTGATGTCATTTCTTCCCTGTAAATGCAAAAGTGTGGTTAAAACAAATCTTCTTCATCTGTGGCTATTTGTGCTCTTATTTCTGAAGTTCTGTCTTTCTTAAAAATCTTTTAACATTGTGACAGACTATGAGTAGGTCACATTATTATTTTTTTCTGATTTCGCCTTCCGTGTGATTGATTACAATTGCAACGTCCTGAGAATCTGTTTGGTCTGTAACACACTATAGGTATGTCCTGTCCAACTGCTGTAAGGCTAACGGTCATTATTCGATGTCGCTGATCCCATTATTAAAGATTCAAATGAATTGTGTGTTTTATATACACCAACATGTAGTTTAAATGTCCAACTTGAAAATAAGGGATCCTTAAGTTATAAAATACCTTCATACATTCATACTAGCTGAGTTACAATGGAAATGAAATAACACAAGAGCTCTCTAGAACGACATTCATGTAGATCACAAAAGAACCACCATGTCAGGATCTTGACCATAACACACTGCAGCTAAATTATCGTCATGCAAGACAAGATGAAGATAGAGTGAATTATATATGAATCAAACGAGAGGTTTTGTAATGTTCCGCAATCTTAAACCAATACCTCAACTGTAACGAGAAGAAAACCCATACATAATGCTTCATTTTTGGTTTTCCTATGTCGTGGACTACGTAAATATTAGTTTTAGTGTTGCAAAATGTAGACCGATGTACAATCTGCTTTTTTTAAAATCCAGAATCATTTCAAATTAACAGGAGCATGAAAGCTGATGGAAAGGGATAACATTGTGACCTGTTTGATAATTATGTCTACACAAAATGGCACATTAGTAAACAATACCCAATGGCATTTACAGACGATAAATATATCCTACAGTATTTATAAAACCTGTCAAATCTACAAGAATATCTAGGTCTTGTGGAGTGAATGTATTATTATATGTAATAGCATCTTTTTAATTCAGAATATCCTGTGTTTTATAAATACAACGACACGTGTGACACATGACGCTACCTCCATGAAGGGAATACATCCAATACCACATCTGGAATCAAGCACTCCTTTTGTTGCGGGTTCCATTATCTTTCCGTTGCCCCCAGAAGCCACATATCGTATAACTGCCTCTCGAGCTTGTAGAACCTCTTCTCTGTCGTGAAATCCTCGAAGAAAGAGGTACCTGGAAAAACCGACATTCAACAAGCTAACCTGTTCGTTACTTTATGTATTCAGCTCCATTTTATTACAACAGGAACTACGAAACAGTTTTTTGACATTTTCCGTCTGATCACAGCATTAATAGTTTATGTATTTCAGTTCAGTATGGATTACGCGGTCTTGTTAAGTGCTATATATACTTTCCTGCAAATCTCTGATTAATAAGATCGTAAATAAAAAAAACAACACTGGTCAATGCCTATACTTACATCCTTTGAATTACCCTATACCAATTATAACTAGAAATCAACTGAAATAAATTACGAGGTGTCAACTGTGTAATCCGTCAAGTGGAAGTCGCCATGTTCAGAACGATTACGTTATAATGGCCACATGTATGTCAATTATGATACTATAAATCACACTTCCTCTGTTTTGTGTATATAGTATAGCATCTTTCTATACCAATTTAGAACTATATACACTGTAGCCAAATAAAGAATAAACACGTATTATAGGGTTGTTCTGCCCTTCAATGACTCGCCATTGATGTAAAGGCCCTGGTTTAAGTGATAAAATTCAGGAGGCGAAAGAGTAAACTCCAAATTTCAAAATCGATATTATAATTATTGCTATCCACGCGATTAAATAGCATGCAGTTGTGTACTTCTTTTACTATGAACTATTCTAATAAGACTTGATTTGATAGTTGTAGCTGATCCTATATAAATATACCCTTGCTCGTGTAGTTTGTCCCGTAATGCCTGTGTATTTCCCAGAAGATGATTGGAATCTTGCAGTTGCTGGAGCTCTACCGAAGGAAACGTTACGACACGTGTTCCCAGCTCCACTGTTCGGGGTACATCAGTCGCCATAGTTATTGCAAGACCAGAAAAATGTGAAGATGACTAGACACTATAATATAAAAATACAAAAAGTTTAAATCATCATTAGTCACACCAGTGAAGTGTATTTCGTTCTTTGACTTGACCTATCACCTGCTGCAACGAGGACGCAATATCTTAATGGCTACTTAAGGTAACAGGATGTTATGACAGGAAAACATGAAGTACTGTTGTAAATTCACCGTTTAAACATACATATGTGCGTTGAAATATTGTGGCTGAGCTGACTCATATGCCATTGCATTATTTACAGCGCATTAGGTAAACAGGAATATAAAATATATGTTATTTACCTCGTTGTGGTTTTATTGCGCGCTACCTGGTGTCTTCTCTCCGTGCTATCAACTGAGGTATGTGGCCCTGAACTGTTGACATAAATATGATATACCTGTAACACATCACGATAACTATAGCTTCAGCCTGACGATCACTTATTTTAATAGAATCTTACTGAAGGTATTTACGTACACCAGATACAACTAGTCTCCTTGCAAAATGCGACAAATTACCAGAATATCACTGTGATCCTCACGTATACTTTGGTGTTTTTTTTTCGTTTTTTTTAAGATTTCCTTTCGTCTCCGAATCTCCTTCGTTTTTTTTTTGTTCCATTTGTGTCTATTTAACTCATTTCCTCGAATTTCATCAGATCCTCGAATCGTCTTTCCTTTCAATTTGACGTCACTTCTTTCCTTTCTGCTTAAATGTTATTTGCGCTAGCTCACTGTTTTATAATGGCAGATCGACACAAGCAATTGCAACAATTAACCAATTCTTCATATAAAACATTAAGTTATTCTCAAAGGATTTTACTTAATAATTATGATACAATGTTACAAATTGTTCTGTTATGTATATATTATTTTCGGGTTCTAACTGTAAACGTCGGTCGTTTAAAAAATATCAGAATAATCAACCGATATACAAATGACCAACAATCATGTGTATTGTACACTGCATATTCCAATTTAAGAAATGAGAAAGCCCATTAAAAATTTAGAAAGAGGTGTACATATGGTCTGAAGAATTTCACTTTCCTTCATTCAGTGCATGCGTTAAGTGCGTCGTTGTGCAAAGCTGACATATGTTTGTGTGATAAGTAAGGTGCATTGGTCTAAAGTAAGTTAAGCATAAAAGATTCTCTGGTCCTTCAATGAACGATCCTTTGTGAGTTTGTTTTTTTTTCACACGAGTCGCTCTACATACATGTAGTAAGTCTAGCAACAAACATAATTACACCTTTAACTGCGGATATGCATGTATTTCTAAAAGTTAAAATCAGTACCACAGTTCGCTTTCGATTTCAGGCCTAGAGGCCATCTTTAGTCGATGTTTTGTTACATGTTGTCTACAGAACTTTTTTTGGCTTAATCGCTCTAGATCTGTAAAATATATACACAAAACCTACCTGCTTCCTAATGGAAACGTATCAATTTTAGCATTCACCAGACATCTTGTAGATAGGGAGCTGGCATTTTGTGATAATGAGCGCTAAGGTATTGCGAAGCTATGATCCAATGAGACACCATGTCAACAACGTGTTGGATTTCGACCAAGTCGTTGTGAAAGCCTATCGAGACAAGGACTCTTCCAAAATCAGAGAACTTCTTCAAGCTGGCGACAAGACGAACTACGATGTTTTCATTTGTGTTAACAGGAACTGGCGAACAAGGTCGATGGGGAGCTTTTCGCGGATATGTTGTCTACAGACCCGTTTAACATTCCGGCACTTTTAATGGTGAGTGAGTTAGAATTATGTTTCGAAAACGAACAACTTGGGACTTAAAAAATCAGGAAAAAGATGGACTTGTTCAAAAACATTGAACATAGAATCGCCAAATCGTATTACATAGGACATTACACAGATGTGAACATCAAGGCTTTCGACAGCAGGTGTGGACAGCAGCTCCACATCGGTATAACGCACTTCTTGACGATTGTGTAGAATTCGCCAAGGAGTTCTGCATTCAAATGCTGGCTTACTGTGGTAACCACCGCGACTTGGAGACAGAGGTTAGCAGACGTATCTCTGACGCTATTGCCACAGGGCTCAGCGCAGAGCAGCTTTCTAGGAGGATCAGGAGCTCGGTATGGCTCGGCAACACATTTTTAGGAGGAATTGAGGTGACCAGCGTTTTGACTAGTCAACGACCGACTGCTCTCTTCCTGATAGTGTATACAATATTTGTAACAGTTGCCGTATCATGTCTGACCGTTTACTTCTATATTTACAGGTACAAAATGTGGGCTAGAAGGAACTGGTGTGTGTTTAAGAACAATGGATTTTAATTGCCCTAAAAGTATAGTCTCTTTCATAAAAATCAGTAGTTTACATTATATATGTATATAAGGGTGAATTTCTGACATTTTCTTATATATTGATATATTGATATATTATATTATATATATGCATTGCACAAATATTTTTACAAAAATATAAATATTCTCACTTTAACAGCAATATTGAAATAAAAAGCACAGTAAAACAATATACAAAATGTTTAAACTCATCCTTTTTATTTCAATATCAAAATTTATAAATTCATGATAAACATACAGTTTTTTACTCATCTAATTTTAATTCAAATGTAATTCTGTGAAATCTCATCGTGGCCAGAGGTGTTAATGGCGGTGTGTCGTCAGTGTGGTTAGTACCCGTGCACCAAGTTGAGGATGTGTGGTTTGCAGCACTAGAAAACTTGAATGACGACCGACCAGGAGTCATCCGATTCACTGACTATGTCACAGAGACCTGGGTGTAGACTGATCGCACAGAATTCAACCATTTTGACAACGACGGAGCAAGAACAACAAACCATGTGGAGGGATGACACAGCCGCCTTAACAAGATCTGCAGAAAACCCCATCCCAACATGTATGCTCTTGTACAGATGCTTCAGAAAGAGCAGGCAACCAATAAAGCAAAGATTATTCAAATCAATGCAGGAGGAAAACCAAGATCAGAGCGAAGGAAATACCGGCAGTTGGATTCCCAGTTACAACGACTGAAGGACAGATTCAGAGCCGGACAGATGGACGTGGTGCAGTATGCAGATTCAGCCTCTCATCTTATTCATGTGGAGTAAATGTGAAAAATAGTTTTAAAAGTTTGTCAATGGATATTTGATAGTAGCGATATTTTAGTTCTGTAAGTTTACTTTTTTCATGTGCTTTAGTATTTCATATACAACAATAAAATGAAATAAACAGTGTTTGTATTGTACAGTTATGTTTAAATTATAGTATATTAATATTTCTGTAGTGCTGTATGTGTGATGACTTTTTAAATAAAATGACTAAAAATGTTGTATATTTCAATTTTAGTATATGTTCAGTGCTGTTTTTTTAAAATGAATGACATTTGAATTAAAATTAGACGAGTAAAAAACACTTTGTTTATCATGAATTTATATATATTGATATTGAAATAAAAAGGATGAGTATAAACATTTTGTATATTGTTTTACTGTGCTTTTTATTTCAAAACTGCTGTTAAATTGAGAATATTCATATTTTGGTGAAATATTTGTGCAATGCATATATATAATACAATATATCAATATATAAGAAAATATCATAAATTCACCCTTATATACATATATCATGTAAACTATACTGATTTTTATGAAAGAGACTATACTTTTAGGGCAATTAAAATCCATTGTTCTTAAACACACACCAGTTCCTTCTAGCCCACATTTTGTACCTGTAAAATAGAATGTGGGCTAAGTGGGAATACAGGGAAAAGGTAATCATCAAAAAGAATGACCCATTGCTCTTTGTCATGGAATCCTTTTATATAATACATTGTCATATAAATCAAAGAATTCAAAAGATTAACAAAGCTTTATTCAATTAATTTTATTTAATTTATTGATTTATTTTGAGGTCAACAAAACTCTTCCTTTCAATAATGAGAAAGATGTTTTTCATAAATAAAAACAGACACATGAACAATGAGCTACCAAATAACATGATTTTATAGCCTTGCACTATTCAGCCACCTACAAAAAACTTAACCAACATCTGTAATGGCACCTTTAATCTAACATCAACAAAAGTCGTCACAAAGGACATTGCACTTTTAATCAATGGCTAACACCTCTTTTCCTTTCATTTGAATATAATGAATTTCTTGTATCAACAAGAGGCCTAGCAACTTTGACAGTCACCTGAGATATGCAATATTGAATATTAAGGTTAAAGGGCAAGTAGCTTTCAATTGCCATGAAAAGGAAATTGTGACATAGATGATGGTTAACCAGTTGCAATATATGCATACCATCAAAACTGTCATCCTATATTAATCATTCTTGCAAAGTTACTTCCAGTTGGAAATAAACATGTTCAAAAATGCTATTTTTCTATAAAAATTTTAGTAAATTAACCTCTTTCCCCAGGAAACAATGTGAGACCCATTTTCGTAATTAAAGCACCTGAAGACCCCACAGGGAATTCACAATTTTGGTAAAGCACCTTAAGACACTTTCATCCATGAAGGACTTTGATTCTATTATATCTGGGTGTTAAGAGAATATTTTTGTAATCCGAGTCAATTGACCCCTTTTGACCCGTCCAACAGCCCCTTGAGGTCAGCCAGGATCAACAAGGGCATACCATCAAGCCATCATCCTTCATACATTATTCTAACCAAGTTTGAAATATTTGCAATGGAAATTTAAAAAATTCTACTCAAAAATCTATTTTCCCCATATACTACAGTAAACTTTACATCCTCTCCACAGAGAAATGGACCCTGGGTCCATGAAATTCACAATTTTGACAAAGCACTTTTAAATGGTGTAGTCATAAAGAGCATATGATTCTGCATATCTTGGTGTTGAGAAGATTTAAAATTAAAATTTGAATAAATTTTTGGCCCCATCCTTCAGGTCCCTATGGAGCTATATTGGTGTTCACTATATTGGTTTTTGCAAAATTTCATTGAAACCAGTTCAGGGATGTTAAAATGTTTATGGATGCATGGCGCTGGACAAAGGTGATCGCAATAGGTCACCATGAGGCTTAGGTGACCTAAAAGTACGTAAAACACTTTAATATTTACCATGAGATGTACTATAGTACGGGTAAAAAGCAGCACTTTTTTTCTGCAACAGTGTTTTTAAACAATCTTTTGAAAAACAGATTATTAAGCAAGATGCCAATCTTGCCAACCTAGTCTTGATAGTCATCTAACTAACCATAAATACATATTGTAACTGTGATAGCAGGAACAATTATGAAAACATCAAAAACATTAAGACTTTTTTAGGAAGTGTATCATTAATTATTTTAACTAGTTTACAATAAATTATTTAAAAGAAGCATCTAAATGTGTAATCTTCCCTCTGACAACTGCCCATGAAGGTAAACCAAGGACTTTAAGGAAAATATTGAATTCCTGTAATTTGTATGGTTTTGTCAATATCACTTGAAAAGGGATGACATTTCTGGTAGTTGAAAACATTGTTCAAATTTTCAATATTTTACCCCTTTGGAGGCTACTACCCAGACTCATTGTGTAGCCAGGCCCCTAAATTTCACAATTTTGAAACTGAAAAGGTACACTTTGGCCATTTGAAACTGCCTTGCCCCAAGGACGCTTGTGGCCAATGAGATCAAAATTGGACAATCAGTTTTTAAGGGAATGTCAATTTATGTAAGGCAGATGGCACAGGATGGTCATCCCGACCCTTAGGTTTCCTTAGCAAAATGACTGCGGAAAAAAATAGGGGAAAATACTGCTATTTACTGGGCCACTGATATAACAAATTAAAATTATAAATAGTAAATTATTTACATGATTGAAATCTAGATTTATTAATACATATTCAACATTATTTTGCTGTAAGTGTTTGATTTTGGTGAAGGATATTCTCGAAAAACAGTTCATGTTTGTGATCAAGATGCAGTAGAAATCTGCGTATGCGTGTCTCCCTGTCTTTTGCATATTGTTGTACTCTATGCTGTAAACTAACTATGTCCTCATTACTATCCACACCACTTTGTTTAATCTCCTTCAGCACATTCTCATAGTCACTTTCTCTCTGTCTCCTCTCCTTCTCGGAATCATTCTTTTCCTTGGCATCCTGTCAGAAAAGAAAACAGCATATTGAAAAGTACAAAAAACATTTAAAGATGATTTATTGCTCCGTATACATTTTTGTACTGGTACATGTAATCACCTTCAGCTAAGTGTATTACTATGCTGAAACAAGTCAACTTTACAGTAAATATCCAAAATATTTTAAACTACTAAAATGGCATTTCATGTATCTATCTAAAATACTTTGTTTGAAAATCTACCATTGCATGTGAGCAACTGTTTAGTTTCTGTGTCAAACATTAGAGGTAATTTGTGAATTTGGATACAACGGTTCCTACACAACCATGATTTCTATCTAGTTCTAAGTAACTATGTACCATCATTATCTATATGTAACTATGTACCGTCATTATCTATAAGTAACTATGTACCGTCATTATCTATAAGTAACTATGTTCTGTCATTATCTATAAGTAACTTTGTACTGATATTATCTATAAGTAACTATGTACCGTCATTATCTATAAGTAACTATGTACCGTCATTATCTATAAGTAACTATGTTCTGTCATTATCTATAAGTAACTATGTTCTGTCATTATCTATAAGTAACTATGTACTGACATTATCTATAAGTAATTATGTACCGACATTATCTATAAGTAACTATGTACCGTCATTATCTATAAGTAACTATGTTCTGTCATTATCTATAAGTAATTATGTACCGACATTATCTATAAATAATTATGTACCGTCATTATCTATAAGTAACTATGTTCTGTCATTATCTATAAGTAACAATGTACTATCATTATCTATAAGTAACAATGTACTATCATTATCTATAAGTAACTTTGTACTGACATTATCTATAAGTAACTATGTTCTGTCATTATCTATAAGTAACTATGTACTGACATTATCTATAAGTAACTATGTTCTGTCATTATCTATAAGTAACCATGTACCATCATTAACTATTGGCAGTGGAAATTAGCATGGATATTTCTGTCAAGTAAGTCCAGACTCTAAACAAACTTTATCACTATGTTAACACTGACTTTATGTTTTCCTTCAGAAAGTGTGTTCCCTTTTTACTGTTTTACTGGCCAATGTGACATTTATAGAAACAAAGAACAAGTCTGTCTTGATATGGAAATAATTTTTGGTACATTACATAGTACTGAAACAATTTTTTGAATTATTTGAAGAGAGAGGTTTGTTGTAAAATCTTTGGATTTGATTTCATAGAAATTCAGAGGCGAAGTAAGGGAGGTAAGTCATGTTACCTGGAGAGCCTGATAATTCTTCTGGTAGTGTAGAACACCTGAATACAGATGCCAAATGCTGAACTCGGGCCACAGTACACTCACAAAGGCAAGGCAGCTGTATGCTGTCTGCAAAGACACACAGTACTTTTTTTGTTTAAAGAAAATAGAGTTGAACCTCGTTATCTTAAGTGGCAGGACTATGGGGAAACTTCACCTTATCCGAGTACTGAGTTAATTTAGTTTGAATGTTTGGTATGAAGTTTGGATGGGACTGATGAATTACTTTGAATTAAATGGGACCTTTAAGTTACAAGACTTGAAGATAACATGGTTTGACTATGCTCTTATTAAACAATATTGAAGAGTTCATAGCTTTCTGCTGTATCTTCATTATCATTTCAGTGACTTTCACAAATTTTGAGAATAATGACCTAAAATAGTGGGTTATGAATACTGGTAAAAATGGCATGCTCTGCAAATTCTAAAACGAGAAGTTATAGAGTGACTTCATTTTATTGAAATGCCCATGACTTAGCTGAAATTAACAAACACACTATATTTTAGATATATTCCTACCTGCCATAGAAGGAAGTCACTGAGTCGCACCTCTCCTGATGTTCGGATGAGAAGATCTGGATCTTTGGATTTCCTTGTGTACAGACAATTATCTAGGAGGTCCTCTGATATATCACTGATTAAGGAAAAAGATATTTTCAATTAACATGAGAAAAGTATAAACTACAAACATAAAACTGGAATCCGACCGAGTTCAGCTCTGATTATCATCCTCGACTAGTATATTCGTTCAACTTCTTTACAACACTTTTAAGTACAGGCAACGCATGTCACCAATGTCACAGCTACTGTAAAACGTTTTAATATTACATGTAGTGTACATTATACTTGCGTATACTTATCTAAGATAATGCTTATGTCAAGACAATATTGCTTTGTGTCTACCAGTTTATATACTAGTATTGAGATTGTAGAAACACATAGCCTTGGCATTTATTTCAAACCCTGCTAATAATTATACAGAGAGAGTGGAGATCTTTACAAATCTAATGAATGTAGTAGCCAACACATAGCCATGAACAAGGAATAGATGTGTTAGGAAATATAATGTGTTCTAGTACATGTAATTTACATTTAAAGAGTCCAACAATCCCCCTCAACTTCAGACCTATCCTGCTCAAATGAAAACTTCAGACTATTGCTACAAAAATGTGAAGGATCACACGGATACAGATCAAATATATCTATCCTTCAGAAGATCAATTAGTACACATACATCATACATAAAATATAAAAACAATGCTGTACAGACCTATATCTTACGTATATCATAATGGGAGCTAACTCTAGTAAAAGACAAACTGTGACAATCATATCAATTATCCCTGTATATTTAGTTTTCAATTTCAAACTGTGTCATTTTCAATCCATGTAAATAAACATTGCTAATAATGTAAAACAACGAAAGTGGTGCATACTTTAAGAAAGTTCCTTTTTTGTTCTGCAAATGTGACCCTAGCATGGATTATTAGATAGGTGGGGAATATTTTGATCATTAGTCAATAGTGCTAGCTACCATGATGAAAAGATCTAAGCTATCTTCTCCTTACATTGTAAAATCCTTTATTTCTGTTGAAGTTTTCTTTTTGTCAGATTCCTGGTTAATCCTAGTTCACAAGTTTATAGGTCCATAAAATGGTAAACAGGTAAAACTTAATATGGATATTAGTACGAAATCAAATGACGACAAGAATTCATATTTTGCAAAACCATGAAATTTGAACCCCAACAAAAATACAAGACTTCACAGAATTTACATAATAAATAGTGCATATGTATGAAGTAATTTAGTCCATCCTCCTCGACATATCAATAACACTCATTTACCTGGTTCTTATGAGTCCGTTTGAGACACCCTCAGCCAGCTCTCGCATGCCAGCACAAATTTCATCTCTGGAGGTGTATGCAAAGCACACATTTAATATTGCCCTGTCAATTATAAATTACACACGTATGAAGGTACTTTGTAAACACATTTATGTCATATATATGATACAGATATTGGCATCTCTTACAGCCGAATATGGTGTTTTTTTTTTACAATCTTACATTTTTCATAGATTTGATTGACTGATCTACAATCAAATTTCATGACCTGGTAATGTGAAGCTGAAGAAATAAAACTTGTTAACATCATCAATCATGTTATCAATGGAGGAAACTCTGGTTGACAAGACATTTCTATTTTCCCTAATGTCAATGTAAACAAAGTGAACTAGGGCAAACATTTACATATCCCCCTTCTCCTGAAGAGAAAATGGTATATGTGTGTCACTATGAGGTACCATGCAGGCATATTATTTCAAAAGTAACCAAGTGTAATCTTTAACTTCAAACACAAAACTCTTATTGGGAATTGAACTTGATTTAAAATACTGTGTTGCAGATGATGGGATGGAGAGACAATGTGATCACTTATTTCCTCTGCCTCCTTCCCCAGATCACCACTCTATTCACACATATCAAAGCATCACAGATCATCCATTATAGCAGATTTTGTGTTTCAATGAAAAATATTATGATTCAATATATTGTTACATTGCTTGTAGTTAAGTATTGTTTTACCATCCATGTAATGGAGAGGGCTTAATAAGTTGGAAAAACTTGTGCCCAATCCAATTGTACAAAGTTTTGCAATAAAATAATTATTAAATCAATTAAAATTTTGACAACATATACATAATACTAAATTTGGTAGTGTGATGCAATTCAAATCGAAAGGTTGGTAAAAATCATAAATATGGATAATGGACAAATATATGTAATAGCAGTCAGCTGACATTACACATCCATCATCTTTCAGATAGTAAGGGTTATCTCCCTTACCCTTTTAAAAGCAATCCAATGATCTGAATCACTCCATAGGATGACTTCCCTATTGATATTCATCATCATATGCCGGTATATATATTTTTTCATGAAAGAGAGTGTAGGAACACATTTTTAGAAATATAAACAACAAAATTAATGAACATGTAAATGAACAATTGATAGTTCCTTGCTAAATAAATTAAATATTTAAATAATATATCAAGTTAAAAAAAAAAATCCAGTCCAGAATTCCAATACTTAATTGAATTGTTTTATCAGAAATATCTAAAGCTGGATGAAGAGTGGGACCACATAGAAATTATGTTTTATTCTGTGCCCACAACAGCCTGCCAACTGTATATGATATATATAGTACGCATGCACAGGTACCATGCTGTGTTCCCACATGTTACAAACAACATGTGTGTTTCTAATAATAGGTATTCCTATACACAATCGCTTCAATAGCAACCATTACATCTCTGTAAGAGTTATTCATCTTGCAAAGATTCCAAATAATTTATAGTGATTCTTTTTTTTTTATTAAATATTTATTTTAGAATACAAAACCATTCAAAAAGAGTTTTACTTAATTCTTCAAGATTAAAGATCTAATCTTTTTACAAACTTTTAACCTGTGTATGCAGCTTTGAATTACTGAATGTTTGAGTGAATTGCTTAAAGTATGTTAATTTCTGCATACCTAGGTAAAGTACAGATCATGAGAAGTCTGGTATAAAAGGGAATCACAGAATAAGTAAGGCTGGGAGGTACGATTCTGTTGGATGCAGTTCTCATTGCCCTGTTTCATTTGGTGTGTTACTACCACAGTTTCAATAGTTCTTAGACTCCAATGGTGTACCTGGACCTCCCTTTTATAATTTTTAACATAATTGCAAGCTTTAAAAAAATTGACAAATAAGAAGAATTACATCATCCAATATTGATATCTGTAACAGTGTTAGTATTCATAATTCAGTAGAGATCTCACAATAACAACAGAATGGCTGATGATGTTGGGAGACAATAATGTCACTTAATTTCACAATTTTGCCCGTTTATTGTAGGGTTTTCTCCAGGCAGACAGATTGTCACTGTCTCTTAACCGTCAATATTGAATACACGCAAATTACCAACAAACTGTCAATTAGTTTTGTTCTGTTGAGTCAAGTACTTGTAATTGAAGAATGATATTGTATCACCTGGTATTTTTAAAATGGAACTGACTTTGAGGGCAAATGAGTTATATTTTGTGATCTCTGGAATGTTCCCACTAAAACTTTCATATCCAGTATATTGTAACCATCTGATGATCTTGACTAAGGATACATGTTTACAATCAAAAATGGTATATACACAATTCTGAACAAATACATGTATTTACTCAATGAAAAGTTACTTACTGGACTTTTTAAATTATCAAGCTTGATGTGGGTATCAAACTACAAATTTCATGGTAATTGTTTTTTATCTGATTATCCGAAGAAACAATTCAGCAAATCCTTTTTGTTTGAGATACCTGGCTATCAACAGATAAGTATTCCTCAGCCAGGTATCCACCATGTTTAAGTCTGTTCATACTATTCACATAGAAATCAGGATTGGAAACAAAGTCTTCAGCATCTGGAAGTTTTCTGGTCATTTGCAATTGGTTAGAATATAAGTTAATTGTATACATGTACAGCTGTTTCTCAAACTCACTATAGTTGTTAACAATCTATAACATATGACTCAACTCAAATTTCAAAACCATAGTCAAGGTAAAGGCACAACGACTTAATATTTATTAATTAACTAGCTACATGTACTTAGAAAAGTCTTACCTAGTGTTGTTCTTAGAGAAGTCAACAGCTTCTGCTACCACCTGTTGTATGTCTGGAGGCAGTAAAGACAGATTACCCAGAACCCTCACACAAACCTCATGCTTCTGAATCAGCTCACTACAGCATAAAACATATGACTACTTCACTACACATCAGACCGTAAGCTGGACTAAATGTTTGGGTGGTACACTGTTAACACACTTTTACTTTGCTGACCAGGGTTTGATTATTTAATGTGGAAGGTATGAGGTCACCTAAGTGTGATTTTTCTACATATTCCTTCCAGCATAACTTTTACAAAGCTTGTTTGGTCACAAAGCCACAAAAGGAAGTGCTATAACTTTTGATGACTTAGCAGTGTTCCTAATTACCTTTTGAAATTGGGGGTACAGTGTACCCCTTAACAATGTATTTACACATAAGAGAGGCTTGAAAACTGGGAGTAAAAGTCTTGAATTTCATCAATCTGTAGGGTTTTGTACCCTCAATGAGAAGTAATGGGGAACACCAAGTTAGCAGTTAAAGTTTTAAATCGATAGGGCACCATCAGAAACTGAAAGATATCTCTGGACAACATTAAAATGCTGAAAAAAGCAGCAATAACTCCTCCAAATATTGTTGCATCAAAATCACATTCAGGAATAGTTCATGTTATTGTTATAAATAAAGGCTACTTAAATGGCTAAAAACTTAAACAGATCTCTGAACAAGTTTCAAATGCTGAAAAACTGAAGGGAGATAACTCTTCAACTTTCATTAAATAAACCAACAATTTCCCTTAAATATAAAGACTACTAAGACTGAACACTAAATGAAGAGATTTTCATACAAGTGAACTCACGCCATGAGGGGTTCTAGTGAAGGAGATAAGTCTGCACAAACTTTTCTTTCACATTTGTCGAATGTCAACTTTTGATACATCACACACTGCTGCACCACGTTGAACCCATATCAAAAGCATGCAATTCAAGTCATAAATCCATTTATCAAGTAGTTACTAGGAATGGAGGAGACATAGCTTGGACAAACTATTTTTCATATGTAGTTCAAATGCGACATCAGAGTGACCTATTTTAGGTACACAACACATTGTCACCCATACTAAAACTATTAAGTTCCAGAGACAAGAAGTGCAGGAGATAAACCCCAGACAAGATAGGACTGGTGGAAGTACTAACACAATGCAAAACTATAGTCTCTCTAGATTCCAGTGGGGTACTAATAAAAGCCTTGATTTCCTTACCGTTCCTGCATTAGACGAGCAAACTTCTGTCTTGCTATTTCCATGAGGCACCCAACCTCTTCTTTGGAACGCTTGAAGTTCTCAATACTGAAGGCATAAACTGTTACTTCTGTTATGCCAAGATCAAGACACCATTCCAAAGTCTGAAAAAAATCATCGATATCTAATTTCTCATCAACAAAATATTGAACCTTAATTATTCAAATTCTAGAAAACATATAAAAAGCAATGGAATTTGAATTAAAAAACTTTTAATAATGTTTATAATTTATTGGCCGTGTTGCATGTAATGGAAATCCGGGTTATGGTATGGTGAATGTTGGGCGGGCGGCTAGGGGGAAAAGGGGTACCAGTTTTGTAGCATCAACTCCTCCTAGAGTTTTTGACATAGAAGCTTGAAACTTTGTAGGATGTTTATATATATGAAACCCCCTTAACTGTCCTTTAAATAACATGTAACATTACACTCATCCCGCGACCTGGACAATTATATATGAAAAAAAAAACAAAAAAAATGTGATCTTGTCATTTAAAAATGTTTAAGAACCTATAGTATACCCCCATCTGCATATAATTGTAAACAGATATGGGAATTAATAGCCTTGTATACATGTTTAATTTAATGCTCAAAGATATAATCCTTATTTTCCATTGCCTTAATGGACAATTTTGATAAAAGTTGACAGGCTGTAAACATTTACATTTTGAAAGACGTTTCTTATCCTAAGTTAATTTCTATGACACATTATATGCTTGTCCTATACACAAGAGAATTAAATGACATGTATTGAAATGAATACAAACATGGAAATAGAAAAACTAAATACCACAGGGAAAAACAGTGTGAAATGTTTTGATGATAAAGCCTTTATGGAAAAGGACTGGAAACTTCTGGACCATATCAAATACAGAAAACAAATGGGCAATGGACTGGAAACTTCTGGACCATATCAAATACAGAAAACAAATGGGCAATGGACTGGAAACTTCTAGACCATATCAAATAAGGAAAACAAATGGGCAATGGACTGGAAACTTCTGGACCATATCAAATACAGAAAACAAATGGGGAATGGACTGGAAACTTCTAGACCATATCAAATAAGGAAAACAAATGGGCAATGGACTGGAAACTTCTGGACCATATCAAATACAGAAAACAAATGGGCAATGGACTGGAAACTTCTAGACCATACCAAATAAGGAAAACAAATGGGCAATGGACTGGAAACTTCTAGACCATATCAAATACAGAAAACAAATGGGCAATGGACTGGAAACTTCTAGACCATACCAAATAAGGAAAACAAATGGGCAATGGACTGGAGACTTCTAGACCATATCAAATACAGAAAACAAATGGGCAATGGACTGGAAACTTCTAGACCATACCAAATAAGGAAAACAAATGGGCAATGGACTGGAGACTTCTAGACCATATCAAATACAGAAAACAAGTGGGCAAAGGACTGGAAACTTCTGGACCATATCAAATACAGAAAACAAGTGGGCGAAAACCTTGAAACAATATTAAATACTGAACGCAAATGGACAATGGACTGAAAACCTCCAAACAAGATAAAATACTGGAAACAAATTAGCAAAGGACTGAAAAACTCTAAACAATATTAAGATACTGAAAACAAATTGACAATACTTATCCAAAAAAATGTTAAATAAACTATTTCAACAAATAAGATTTCATGTTCTAGTTATAAAGCTATAAAAACTATTAATTGAAACCTGACAGAGGAGATCTCCAACCAATATTAAAAGCCAAGAAGAATAATTCTTCCAATTACAGTTACCGTATTCAACCAAATAAGCGCCCATGTCCCTATAAGCTCCCCCTCCCAATTCAGATACCTAAAAGTCTAGATTTACTTACATATCAGTCACAATCAAGAATTGTTTTAAGTCTGTTTATAAGGAGATGTGCTCCAGAAAAACGCAAAAAAACAGTTTATCTCCAGTCCACCAGTAACAGAGGAAAGTCAATAAGTGTCCTCTGTAACTACTACCACTATTTTCCCACTATGCCTGATAAAAAAAATCACCTGTTTTTGACAGTTCACTTGGAATGTGGCCCACTGTTTTCCCTTCTTTCATAATTCTGATTGCAAACTTGTCAAACAGATTATTATCCCCAATAACTGTATCAAGGCACTGTCCTATGAATGGTTTTCAACACTCTCTAAAAACATGATATCCCCTGACCACAGACGAATATTCATACATAAAAAACAATTTTTTCACACATTCCAAAACCACGTGGTACATGACCTTTACCTTGTGCACCTTGGTGTCGTGCACTCAGCCACAGTTACGACGACTGAATAGGCATAATCCATTACTTAACAGTTAAGATAGCCATTGATACAGCAGATTAAGAAATGATATTTTCATGTGTGATAGATTATTTGACAGAAAGAAATGAAGCAGTTAGATATCAAATGACAAATAAAATAGTTGTGCTAAAACAGGCAAGTATTAATGGAATTTCACATCTTTAACATAAATAAATTCCCTTTCGTCTCATCATATTAAGATGTTCTGAAACAATTTATTGACGAGCACATAATGACAGAGTGCACCTTGTTACAGAGGTTGACACTGAAATTATAGCGACCACAGACACATCACAATGTCACAAAGGGGGCCGAATCAAGTCGTATGAAATTTCTTTCAAGTTAGAAGTTGTGGAGCTTGCCAAGGAATGGAGAAATATCAAAACAGTACGGTATAGATTGGAGACAAAAAGAGAGTGAATTGAAAACCTCTTTACAAAACACCTCAAAAAGGAGACGTAAATTTTCGGGTGGAGGCAGATTTCTTAGCACTGAATGTGTTTCTTTTACATCTAAGATGGTCTCTAATAAGCGCCCCCCTTAATTGTAATTTTTTAAGCACCCTGGGTGCTTATTGGATCGAATATGGTAAATCAAACTGCCATAGGAAAATATGCTTTGAAAGTTTTTCAGAGAATGGTTGAAAATTGTGAAAAGCGAACATTTCTTTTGTCAGAATATTTTATTTTTCCACTCTGCACATCACCATACCCCATTCTAAACAGAAAGAATGTCTTCATTTTCTTGTTACACAAGTTTTCTCTTCCAAGAAAGATGAATGATGGTACAAATATGGTCATGACTTAGACAGAAGCACATTTCATGAAAAATACATCCAAATCAAGGAAGAAATACATTGAAAAATATAGAAAATCATAAAGTTTCTGGTTATCTACATTTTTGTTGAGTTTGGTGGTAAGATCTTCCAATAGACTTATAGACTATTTGCATACCTAAGGAAACTTACTGTGCTCTTCTGTTTGCTGACATTTTTCTGTTTTCATACAAGACTCAATTTATTGAAGATCTTATCTAACAGGTCACAAAGACCCTGCAAAGTCACAAATTCCACTTTTGAGTATACTGATGACTTCTTTTCTTTAAATAAAAAGAGAATTATTGACCATGGCCATCATATACCACCAGAATAGGAAATCAAGGACACAAGACCCTTATACATCAGCTGTATATCTCAATCTTTTCCTTCTACATGAATCAACATGGACAGGATGTGATGATTTCATTTCAACATTGTGAATTTCCCATTCTGGATAGCAACATACCTGCATCCCCAACCTATGGTGTTTACATGTCTACATTATCATCACCAACTGATGGACAAACTTGCAACAGGGTCTCAAGAGATGCAGGTTGATGAAAACAAGGGAAAGTTTTATGGCTATCATAGTGATCCCATTGAGCAATATTTCATGACCGTTGGTTTGCCTGTTGGTTTGCCTGTTGGTTCTGTTGTATACTTTGTTCTGATTTGAGAACATGACATCACTTACTTAGTTTGACTGCAGTATACATGATGGGTATTGTCAATAAAGCAGATGATCCTTACTCTTCCAGAACACATGGTCTTGTAATTTGCCCTAGTTTCTTTTAATCAGACTTTGGATCATGATTGTGTTGACATTTTGGTATTTTTTTGTTGTTATGTAAGCCCACATGATACTTTGACACATCACAACATCAAAATGAAAATTAATTTCAAAACCAACTGAAAAAAACTAGCACAAACCATGCAACAGGTCAGAGGCTAAGTATCAGCTAAGCTAAAAAAATAGATAAATAAACAGTCACAGAAAGCTTTGAACAACAACACTGCACACCATCATATGCATCTCACAAAACAATTTTGCAAAAATGATATAACCTACTTCTGCAAGCTTATCAAATCCCTTCAAATGTCCTTCTGCTCTCTCCATGCTGTTTTTCTTTGCGAAACGCCTATTTCCATCCATGATGATGGCCACATGTTTGGGGACAGGGCCAGTTTTGAGGATCTTTGTACACATCTGGTGTATCCATGATTTACTTGTCTTCTTCTCTGGAAACCAGGACATGATGTCAGTTTTTCTGTTAGAAAAAAAAATGAAGAAGTGTTACTGACACTGACCCTTGTATCTTTTTAAAGTCTCCCCAGTAGATAAGTTCTGTGCTTAAATTAAAGTAAAACTGTTTTTAAACATAATGTAATGTTAAATATACATTTATTATTACATTGATATTGAGTTAAGTATGTGATAGACTAAGTGTCAGTGTATTTATTAATGCATATAGTACATGTATCATCTAATAGTCACACATCTCATTAAAAATTTTCATTTGAACAGAATGATCTAAATGACCCATTTCTAGCTGTAATATGTTATGTAAATTTGACCAACTGCCCATATACCCTTCTCTCATATATATCTGGTACAGAATGCATAATCTACTCTTAGCGAATTCATCAACCTTAATACATCATTAATGGGGGGACAGAAATACAAAATGCTTCATCAGTCCTAAGCTCTATTGCATGTATATAATAATGGTAACCTTCTTAATTAGACATGGCCCACCTGATTTTTTAAAACGATATGGCAAAGATGACAACTTTTACTATTTAATCAAATTAGACCCGATGTTAGGGAGGTGAATAACAAAATTAGTTTCATTTCTTAATTGATGATTTTCCTTATTTTCGTTTTGTACTGACCCAATTAATCATCAACGTACAGGCCCAACTTAGAAATGTAATACAAAGGAAATGTGAACGTGCAAAATATTAATTGTAATGAAATAGAGAAGACAAATAGATAGTTTAACACCATGAGATAGAGCCTATCATACATTATTTCTCAAGCTTTCCTTCCAACTCATAAATATTGAAAGATGACTAACTGCATGACTGAATCTCCTCACCACAACTGATGGTGTCTCCTCGATATCAAATGCAGTCACATTAATCAAATGTTTTTCCAAGTAAAAGACATGTTAATGTGTACATATAATCTTCGATCAGAGTAGACCTAAGCCTGGTATCACAAACCTCATAGAGGCCAAATGTTCAAGAGTTGGTCTCAAATGTACGCGTGTAATGTTTACGTTTACACCCCTGAATCCTTCCATCAGATAACCTGATGTTTGCAATGTCAAAAATACATAATATGAATGGCATTTGTGTTGTTAAACGATCGTGATATTATAAATGTTAGGAAAAGACTGAAAATGAAAACCAGGAAATCTGACACACCCGATGAAGAATCAGCTGTACGCAAGGGAAACACACCCGCATGGCTTTCACGGTGCACAAGTGTACGTAGTGACGTATCGCTATAGGTGAAAAGGCTTGCACTACGCATCCGCGCAGTAAAGTAGGTCATATCGAACCGCACAAATTCGTAACAGTAACTTATAATTCGAACCTTGTGTATTTAACGTCCTTATATTTTAACAATGTATTTAATCGTTACTTAAAATTAAACTAATATCACACATAACTGCCATAATTCAAGAAGGTCAGTGACCTACATATTACTCCGCCCATATTCCGCGTGAAACTGTTGCGATCGATGGTCGAAAATAACACAAAAATGGCGACTCATTTCCTAACCTTTGGTTAGTTATCGTCAGATTTAGATGCCTGTGGATGTGTTCGGGAGGAGAACATGCCTAGCGAGGGTTCTTCGAACGTATCTCTTTCCACTGTTGAGTCAGGTAGTATGATATTTCTTCGAAAATGAGTCAAATTCGACCATTTGATGAGAGCACAAATTCACGATTTTCATTTTCTTTTCAGAACTTTATTTCCTAATCTCCCGGTTCCTCGCATCAGGACCATGTCAACGGGCTTCAGAGGTTAGTAGATGGTCTTTTGTCGATTTTTCGAACTTAATATTGTTTCTTGTTACTGACTATTTGATTTTCTTTTGTAGGCATTGAGACAGGAGCTGACAGAACATCAGGTAAGACGAGTCGTGGTGTTGTTGATTTTATTTACAAATTACGCGCTCTTTACGGTGTTTTCCGTACCTAACGTGGTGATTTTATGAAATTTTAAAGCTTGATTTGTATTAATTTCAAGATGTTGTCACATTTTCTAACACGTGCACGGAATTTTGGTAATATTAATTGTGATATATTTTTTAGCTTTTACCGAAACGATTGGATTGGGAAGGCAGGCAACACGAAAGAAGTTATGAAAATTTGGTAAGAAATGTGAAAGTGGATAAACTCGACATGTGGGAAGGATGCTGATTTTTTGTATTTTTTTTACATGTTTATTCGTCTTGGCTGATGCCGTCGTCATTTACAGCATTTTAATTAAATTTATTTGTCTAATTAGGTTACATCGAAAAAATTAGCGTTGTACCACTATTTACGTCCAAATTCGAATAATTTTCCTAAGCATTATCATATCAAATGTGCAAGGTCATATGCGTGATGTCATAGTGGAACGTGCCGCTCTGAGCCAATGAAAACTCGGGAAATCGACAAAGGTCATGTGGCTATTTATAGCCGCAGAGAAAAGGAAATGCCCAATAAATCTGCAATCTGATTGGTCCACATGTATAGATGGTAAACAGAAGCACGTGGTCATATGGTTGCGCGAAGTTCCAGAGTTTGGCACTTTGCTTTGGTTGTAATGTTTAGAAATCAATTTGGCCTTTAGAGCGTTTTTAGAAATATTGTTTTCCAAAGTTTTATCAAGCACAGTTTGAGGTAAAAATAATTAACTACTGATAAAAAGTCTTGCAGCAGAAATCTATCCATGCTTGAGAGTTATTTCCCCTGGTCTAGTGACATTAAATATTGCCATGCTTGTTCTTAGTTAACTTATTCCAAATTGGCAAATACTTTCATAATCACCCTGTTGTTTTTCATTAAACATGTTTTCAAAGATATTATGAATACATTTCTTACATTGCCTTGCAACATTTAAAACAGCAAAGATCTTGAAAATTGAATAGTTGTTGAAAGGTTTCTTTATTGTGTTGAAATTAATTTTATTACATCACTTGAATTTAGGTCAGTCTTAATCGCCACATATCTTCAAGTCATCTTTTGCAAATATGTCAACGTCTGGGTCCTCTCTTGGACAAGGATATCAATTCATCTGTGACAGGGTTACAGTCCCTTTTAGGAGCTGGACAACAGTCCCTTCTGAGGACCAAAGAATGTGAGTTATTCATACAGAACATTACTTCACACTAAATGAACTAACAGTATTAATCAAACTTTCGTCAATTTTACTTGTTAAGAAATGTTTTTTCACAGAACGTTTAGCTAGTCAAAGTTTAAGAGGAAGCATAATAATTAAATTAATAGATAATAAAATGTGAATATTTTTCTTTTGACATTGAAGCATTTACACGTAATCTATTTCAAGTGTATCGCAACAGTTTTAACTTTTCATTAAAACACCAAGAAATAAGCAGCTAACAGGACAATTGATGCAATTAAGTATTATTTCATTTGATTTGTATTATGTTAAAAACATTTTATGATTTATTGTCAGTAACTATATCAAATGATATAAAGTTAGAATGGATTTTTTCTATGAAAATTTGCACCTTTCAGCGGTGATCCATCCACGATGGCGACCCGAAAGGCATTTAGCTACTTATCATCACAGACCTTTGCTGCCACCTGTAAACCTGGTGGTGCCTTCCCTTAGTGAGTGCTACTGATCATATATACTTTTGAATACATGATGTGTTTTTTTTTATTCATTAAGTGAATTCTCATAAAATACTTGCAATACCAAAGAATCAGGATTTGAAAGTAATGGTTTAATAAACTTTCCTAAAAGAGAATGAATTACAAAAGTCTATTTGAGATTTTGATAAAGAACCAATATATTGGACAAGTTGTAGTTTCAGGGTCATAGCTAGATACAAGGTCAAAGTTGCTGTTTTAGAAAGTCCTTGTCAGCACTTCACTGGCTTTATATTCGTGGTGGAATTATTATCAAACTTTATATTCATATAAAGGACCAAGGTTGTAGAATCAAGGTAACTGTTGCTATTTTTACAAAATACTTTCTAGCAACTTAATTGGCAAGGCATTTTCATTAATTTTAATTCTAAGATCCTGTGCACCCTATAGCCATCACCCAGATCAGCTGTTAGCTTGCTATGGTATTTGTAGTCTGGACAGAATTTTACACTGCAAAAAGACCAAACAATGTACATATATCTCCTCAGAAAGGATGTAAAATGTGTTTTGAAATTAGTTTATGCTGTTAATTAATGAATACATGTAAATAAGATAAATAGATCAAAAATAAAACTAGAAAAGAAAATTAGAAGCTACCTTATTCTTTCTCTAGTTTGTAATTCAGCCAGATTTACAAGTGCCTTTATAGATTTTTTCAACAGCTCACCAAATCATTCCAAGCTTGATAATATATACTGTATCATTTTAGGTCATGTGACAAAGGCACGAGAGATGACAGGACAGTCTCGTAGGGACCTTGTCTGTCCTATCTTCATTCACTCCAAAGTGTCCATGCATGCCAGAAAGCTTGGCCATCTGTCAGCTGTATACTGCGTAGCCTTTGACAGGACTGGTCAGTACATCTTCACGGTAAGTACATAAAGAGAAGACGGACTATAAACTTTTTAACATGTGTCTGATCCCAATTTTATAAATGTATTTGCAACTAAGATATATATAAATCAAAATCAAGTAGATACAAGATATAGTTGACGTAGAGAATTTGGTTCAACAATTTGACAGGCTTTGTTATAATATTATCTATATCTGCTGCTTTCTTTCCATATTTAGACTTGTTTTGATTATTAATGTATTTCTCTATTGCAATAGACAGATGCATATTGTTATGCTTGGTTGTACTCTTGTTTTAGCTCTGTATTGAAATCATTGATATTTAGTTATTTTTTTTAGGGGGCTGATGATGCTCTCATTAAGATCTGGTTTGCAGCCAGTGGACGACTGATTGATACACTTAGAGGACACAACTCAGAGATCACTGACATTGCTGTGAACTTTGAAAACACACTGCTGGCATCGGGTAGCTGTGATAAGATTATAAGGGTATGGTGTTTGAGGACTAAAGCTCCAGTGGCTGTACTGCAGGCCCATACAGGAATGATCACATCTCTACAGGTACTACATACTTAACACTGATATCAACGCTAAAAGTAATGAGTGACACACCTCACAAAAAAGTTAGGATGTCTGATTAAGCTAGATCAGACATTTAAGTATCAAAATTGTATTGGTCATTTACAAGCATAGGAAGAGTGATATGAAGAAAAATCTTTGGAAAAAATATTAAATTTCATTTAGTGCAGTGTTTTTTCTGGTATATTGTAAAGGGGTTAGTGTATCTGTGTATTTAATTCATACTTCGTGAAGAAAGTGTGTACAAGTGCTGATGAAATGGCTTTACATTTGTTGTATTTTATTTTGTTTTATTGTGTTTTGATCGTATGTTGTTTGCAGTTCTGCCCTCAGGCCAGGGGAGAGCATCGCATTCTCTCCTCCACTGGAGGGGATGGCTGTGTCTGTTTTTGGACCTGGAATGTCACTACTAACAAATTCAAGTAAGTCATATTTATTCTGGTGTATATTATGTTATGCTTGTGTTTGTTATATTATTCAGGTGTATATTATAGTATGCGGTTGTGTATTACCAGGTGTGTATTATAGTATTTAGATGTGAATTGGAATATGCCTGTTGTTCATTTCACATTTGTATTAGGGGGTAAATACAGGTTTGTTCTTTACCTGTCCATAAGTTCATATATCACCTTAAAAGTTTTATGGTCATCATAGTGATCTTGGTGAGAAATATGCTTTGTGTAATATCAATCTGGACATATTTGATGCTCATTAATTTTCCTGTTTGGTTCCGTTGTCTTGTACCTTGTATTCATTTGAAAACGTGACTTTACTTACTTGGGTTGACCAAGACTTACATGACAGGTATCATCAATGATGCAGAAGACACTTATTCTGAGGAGCAACAACTTTCAAAAGCACTTGTCTGTCGGATTTAGTAACCTGGTAAAAATCATTTGTCCAGATCAGAAATTCTGACTAATCCAGAAAATTGCAATTTTTCTAAACCAAACATAGAGCACTCATACATCTTTTACCAGGCTTTGATTCAAGTTCAGTTGTGAATAAATCATACATATCTTGTGAACCTTTGACTAAAACTGTTAACAACAGTAAGTGTATTTATTATAAGTACCTGCATTCAATCATATCCTGTCACATTTATTCCTAGCTTAACAATTAGAAATGTCCAATGATCATACAAGTGTAAGCATCATCGTTTTGTCAACTTTTTTTTGACAAATACTGAGATGTTTATCAACGAACCTAATAAAACAAAGCGAACAGTAGAAAATACATATGTATTGGCTACAAATGATTTTGTTTTCTATCAAATCATATGCCTTGTTACAACTGTCTTAGGTTTACTTCAATTAACATAAAAAACTGAAGTTTAGATTCTCACTGAGCCATTTTCATTACAGATAGCATGTTATCACAGCAGTAAATAACCCATTTAGCTCATCGACAAACTTGTTTGGCGTGTTGAGTTTTCATTCTAGGAAGCATAAACATACTTAATGACAAGCTGACATTTTGTTATTTATTAACTACAAAAGAAATGCTGAATTTCTTCTGTTTGATTAATAATTGAAATTACTTTAAAAAAAGTACTAATCCAATGGACAAATTGCCAATAAAAAATGCTCTTCTGTCTGCATATTCTACTCATCAAGATGGTCAAATGAGTGCTTTTACCAGGCTGTGATAAAGTGTCAACTTTAGCACTCAATTTTGGCCTTATTCTTCTTTAACTTATGATTACTACCCTTTCTTTACTGTGGAAGACATTGCCAAGGCATATCTTGTTGATACTGGGTCAATTCTTACTGACAAATTTTACAGCCAAGTATTCTCATGAGATGGCAGTGTGTTACTTAGAAGTCGCACTCTCCATTATGTATGCTCCTATTTTGAAACATACATGTACTACCCTTTTGATTATTAATATCAAGATTTTTTTTGGTGAGGGTTTATGTTATGGGCATCTTAATTTATTTGTATTGATGGCAGACCAAATGTTAAACTTAATTCAAATAAGAAATATGTTGTTGAATTTTGCTAAATACAATGTTGACTATTGATTCAAGGCAGTGCAGGATTTTTTAAAGTTTTCATTTCCTATTAATTTTAGTGTATAATTGGACCAGTTGAAGCTGATTTTTAAATTAACATGTATTTTAAGCTTTTGCTCAATTGCTCTTTCAGCCCCAAACCAGCCAAGTTTATAGAGCGATCACGGGCTGGAGCTCAGATGTTGTGTTCTTCCTTCAGTCCAGGAGGGGTGTTTTTGGCCACTGGAAGTGCTGACCATGTGATCAGAGTGTACTTCTTGCATGTCACAACACCAGAAAAGATCTGTGAATTGGAAGCTCATACAGTAAGTGTCCCATCATGATGAATATATTATTGATGGGGAAATCAGTTAAAATGCATAATCAATTACCAGTTAAAATCAGATAGGCTTTTCAATGTAGTCAATCTATTAAATAATCAACTGACTGGTGTTCAATATTCACAGAAAGTGAATGTTTTCTCTGTTGCAGTAATTTTTTTTTAAACTTTAACCTGAAATACTTCACCTCTGTAGAATTTACATAGGAATGAATGCTATTGACAATGGTATCTTTATTAGGCATGATGTGAATTTTGTTTTTGCTAAATACAAGAAAATATTGAAGTACCGATGCTTGATTATAAAAATCACAGTAAAAATTGATGTGAATATGATATTTTTGTAAAATAGAATGCTATTTGTGTAACACATTATTTATAAGCTACAATGTTGTAGGACCGTGTTGATAGCATTTGCTATAGTAACAGTGGGGAGAGGTTTGTCAGTGGAAGTAGGGATGGGACAGCTCGGATCTGGCGTTATGACAGACAGGAATGGAAGTCCATCATTCTCTCCATGTCAACAAAACTATCCAGGTACTACGCATGTTTTGAAATCTGTTACATACTTAGATAAAAACTACTCATTTACTTGCTTTACCATAACTGACTAATATTTCTGTATCTTTCACTTCATTTTGTGTTAGCTTTAGATCTATTTAGCTTCCAGTGTCAATTTGCTCAAAGTATTTAATGCTGTTTCAAAGCATTTCATCATCTAACAATGTTTGTCATACTTGTGTGATGTTCATATAAGTGAATTGATGGTTTCATGTTACTTACAGTAACGTACAGATATCAGATGTAATCTTTGGAGGTTTTGTTTGAAATGATCGGGATGTTTTCTATACTGCAGAAGTGCTGTCTACACTTAATTGTAATAGTTAATAGCAATTTTTTACTGTGACGTTTATAACCTTGGAAAATGGTCTCTTAGAAACCATATCATTAATGGATATCAAATAAAAGTACATTTGCAATATTTGGATAAACTTGTATTCACAAAACTGCACACAAATCTGTCTGAACTACGGTATTTTCTGGGTTTTAAAATGCACCGGTAGATTGGCTGCAGATCCATTTCTTCTTTTTATTATTATTATTTAATCCACATATTAGCTGCACTAGAATATAAGCCAACCCTTTTCTTAAGATGTGGTAACCATGACCTCTACCATTCATTGATGTATTTCAAAAATTATTCTGATCATTCAAAATTCATAAATAGCAAATATCGAACTTGTTTGGCACACAGAAAAAGTCCTGATGTTACATATGAACAGTTTACTAAATAATCTCTCCATTATTGTCTGTACTGTTAAATATCAACGAAGGCCCTTGCATGCTGACAAAATTCTTACAGCTTCCTTATTTTTCTTCTCGTAATTTACACAAAGCCGTTGGTATTGTAAATAAACATGGTGGCCGTTCTAGAATTTGACCTATCACATAATGACCTATCGATCTTAGACGTGATGCAATAGGTTGATGAAAAGTTCCACCATGCCTTCTTGTAATTTCTGTGAAGTAACTATGAAAACCAAGATGATATTATGATCCATATCAAAAGTTATGATTACTTAAACCCACAAACACATGGTGGGCAGGTACTCGTAAAAGAAACACAGTACCATCTTGTACTGGTACACTACTTTTTGTGTATGTCGTCACACGTCGGTGGCGTCCATATAAAAGTTTTCCGGACTTTTTCTGGTTATGCTTTGAATTATCAAAATGAAATTAAGTATATGGATTCTTGTTGGAAGGGTACAGTTTAAGTTTGATTCCTGGCTGTCTGTAACCCTTCTTGGCAGAGTTATGCCCCTTTGAACTTAGAAAATTCTCTGGGAATATTGTTTTCTGGACTTTCTTTGGTTATGCTTTTAGTTATAGAAATGAAATTTGGTATATGGCTTCTTGCTTGGAAGGGTACAGATTAGTTTTGACATCCAGTTCGATTTCTGGGTGACCGTGACACTTTATGCAGGCAACACATACAGTTCCAAGGAACTCTTGTTTTTTTTTCTTTCTGCTTTTATTTTTTTTTTGTCCACATATAAGCTGCACCAGTATATAAGCGGCACACCAGGCTCATGAGGAAAAAAGAAAAAGTTGTGGCTTATAATCCAAAAAATATGGTACTAGCTCCAACCAGTTTTCAGCTTGATGACCACTGTTTTCAGATGTCCATGAAGGGGTAATAATATCACTTTTTGTCAGAACAAAGGTTGGCAATGTGTGATTTTGTAATGTTATTATTTTTTGTTTATCTGCAGTTGTGTAAAATCAGAGACTGAAGACAAAGGACAGAAACCACGGGTGACCATGGTTGCCTGGAACCTAGACGATAACTTAGTTGTAACTGCTGTAAATGACTGCACACTCAAAGTTTGGGATTCTCATCATGGCAAACTTTTGCATGTCTTGAAAGTAAGCTGATTAGATATGATCAATGATATACCTGCAGTTGTTGTATCCATACACTGCATTTAAACTTAATTTCAAGATTGGAATAATTTTTTTATTGGGAATGATGAAAGATTGAGAATATTGAGGGAAAAGAAATAAAGAGAAAAGGCAATAGATGATAAGTCTCTGTTCATGATTAATCTATGCCAATAAAACATTATATGATGCAAGTGCTCCAATATTAATCCATCGAAGCCTGACATCTAGGGGGATTCTTAAAACAAAAACCTAATTTAGCTATCGTGTAACTATGACGTGAGAATGAATAAAATTGATGTTTCAGGCTCACGAGGATGAGGTGTTTGTTTTAGAACACAGTCCTATGGATCCACGAATCTTCCTGAGTGCTGGTCACGATGGATATGTGATTATGTGGGACCTGAACACTGGCAACAAAATCAAGAGTTACTTCAACATGGTATGGCAGAGGTGTTGAGGTCTCCTCATATTTGGGAATCCAATGTTTCTTTTTATTTTTATCATTTATTGTAACAAAAATACTGATTTGATGAAATTAATTTTTGATGAACACTTTAACACCTATAACAGCACAAGATTTTAAGACATCCTTACTTTACTTACTCTCTTACTAGCACTTTTTCAGGGCTTTTCCAGAACTCAAAGTATGGAATATCTGGAGACACCTTTTCTTCTTTACATCTCACCACCAATCAAATATTGAAATTAGTTTAATGTAAGGCATGGTAGACAGGTGCCCCTCTCCCCGCTGTGAATTGATTTAGTGTGATTGTAAAAGCCCCTAAAGCAGTAGATTAAGGTATCTGCATGTAATATATTACAGATCGAGGGCCAGGGCCATGGTGCTGTGTTTGACTGTAAGTTCTGTCCTGATGGAAATAGCTTCGTTGCAACTGACTCCCATGGACATCTGCTTCTTTTTGGATTTGGTTCAAATGAAAAATATAAACAGGTAAACTATCAATACCTGCATTCAAGGATTGGAACTGTTTTCTGACAAAGTCTGTAGTTAAAGGACTGTTTCTTTTGGTTAACTGTTTAACTGCTGTTCAAAACATTTCTTAAAAATAAAATAGAATCTTTTGGATACTTCAGAAACATACTGTTCAGTTAATGTAAATAAGTTTAAAGTGTCTACTATTTCTCATCGTATGTATTATAGGTCTTGATTCTTCTTCAGAATATCTTGATGAATAAAAAAAATTAAGACCTTAAACTGAAATGTTTTAAAAATGGTTTTTACACTTCAAAGTTTTTTTTTTTTGGTTTTTTTTTTAAACAGATACCTCAGGAATTGTTCTTTCACACTGACTACCGTCCATTGATGCGTGACAGCAATAATTATGTTTTGGATGAACAAACACAGCAGCCACCTCACCTCATGCCCCCACCATTCCTTGTTGATATTGATGGTAATCCATACCCACCAAAATTCCAGAGACTTGTGCCAGGCAGAGAGCACTGCAAAGAAAACTTACTAGTACCTCAAATGGCTGTCAATGAAACAGGTAATTGCTCTGCAAATAAATGGTTTATACCTTCTGACAACAGATTAGATTTTTTAAAAAGTGAAACATTTGGTTCAAACCAGAACATGTTTAAGGAGTGGGTTTTGTTTGTTTTAGAGATAAGTAAATATGTGTAACTGTTTTTATATAGGGGACCAAGAAGTTGTTGGGGAGCGGGTGTCTGAGGATAATGATGAACAACTGATGCCCCCTCCTGTAGCTCCAAATAACCTTGACAGCCTTATTCAGCAGCTGCAACGTGAACAAGACAATCGTTTGGCGGCCAGTGGTTCTCCAAGGGTTGCAAGATCAAATTCAGGTTAGTTCAACAAATAATTAAGATTTAACACCAGTGTGAATTTATGAGATGGAATCTAGATCCAGTTTTGTTTTTAAAAAAAGGAGAGAAACTTGAAAATGACAATCATGATTTGTTAAATACAAGTAGAAGTTGAATACCTTGTTTTGCAATTATTGTAAAATAAATAAGGCTTATATAAAGTTTCTATAAATTTAGGTATGCAAATGCATGCCTAGTTTAATTCTTTCCTACTACAACTATGATGAAGAAATGTACCATTTGCTTAAACTACTTCTGTGATTCTTTGTCATCAAAATTGATTGTGATACTTTGTTTTATATCCCTGAGGCTTTAGGATTTCTATGCTTTTTTAACTCGGTCCACTGGAACTTGATTTTGATGTCTTGGATATTTACATGTTCTTTTGATTAGGGCTATTATTGTAAAACATCTACTTGACCCCAGGACTCCGGAATAAATCATTTCTCTTTGAGATTCAGTTACCAACCTTTTATTTCTAAGCAAATTATCAGTTAAAATCTATGGATGGTACTCCTTAACAAAAATTAGAGTCCTGGGGTGGAATAGATGTTTTACTGAAACAGCCTGAAATAGTATGTCAGTTTTATGGTTGTAGCTAGTGGCAGTAATCACGGTCATAGAGTGGGTATGAGGATGAGTGGAGAAACAGAAGGTGTGCGTCAGTCACTGGGCAACATCAACCAACAGGCCACCCAGTCGGACCTTGCTGCCTGGAGTAGACGCATCATTGTCAAAGAGCTCCACCCATCACTCCTCTCGTAAGTTTTCAGATTTATAGTGACTGATGTAAAAATATTATAAACCTTTAATTTCTTTCAATAAAGTATATAATTGTTCTTGTGCTTAAGAAAGCGTAATTCAGCACAATGAAACTAGTGTATTGTGATTTGAAAAAAACAAATTGAGCTATAGTTAGCCAGGAGATAAAATGTCTTCACATTTAAAGAGGCACAGGAATAGTTTTGTGATAGATTTCATATAAATGCTTTTTCTGCATTTATAAGCGTATATACAAAATGTTGTAAATTGTAAGATATTAGTATAAATCACCAATACTATAAAATGATGCTTATTTATGATGACTGGTAAACACCATGCCTAGATAACATTTGTTTTGAATGTAGGAGTTGTGAAGAAGTGAGAATGGCCCATGCTGAAATTGAGGCTAAGAAGTTCTTAGCAGAAAGAAAGAAGAAACCAGTATATTTCCATCATGTAAGTTAAATTTGTCTGTAACAGACAAACCTGTTACAGAACAACATATCACTTCTATTTTGTTGCCCATATTAAAGGCAGATGATATTAATTTTGAGATAAGGGAAGTACGATCCAAGAATAAAACACAACAGAGTTGTTTGACCACTTAGAGTCCAATGATCTGTCTCTTAATCTGATGATAAACCATATTTATTTCAGCAAGGTGAAGTGACCACTCCAGTAACACCACAGAACAAATCACGACGACGTCCACGGGTCGGTCAACATTCAGACACTACATCACCAGAAAATGAGGAAACGGCTACCAATAGACTAGCTACACGTGCATTGTATGACACAGAGGAGGAGGTAGCATACTTTGTATAATGCTTGTCATTTACATGTTGAAAGGCATATTTTTAAACTTAAGGAGATGATAACAGATTAGAGATGTTTTTTGAAAAAAATTCACTAAAGAATTGTTAAATTTCAAAGAAATTGTTCTTTCCGGGAGGGATTTTGGTTTCAAAGAGATTTTAATAAAAACTTTAGATTAAAACATATGTGAGACATTATATCTGTATATGGGTAAATAAGTTTATAATTAGCAAGTTATATGCGTTTTAAGAATGATGTCATAGAGATGTTATTTGAGTTTTAAATTTTCTTTTTTAAGGAGGATGAGAATGATCAGTCAGGGCTGTGGAACAGCAGCAGTGGCAGGTAAGGTGTTCTATCTGAGATTTAATAATACCAGGTTAAGATGTAAATACAACATTGCCTTTGGGTTTTCTTTTCTTTTCTCTATTTTTGTTCACAACCATTCAGGTGTATTTCTGGAGTAAATGTTACGCTAGGATAATTCTTCCTTATATAATGGACAGAAAGAAAACTGTTTTTATTTGCAGTGATTCCAGCGACTACTCAGACTGGGTGGGTGACAATAACACGACAAGTTTACAGCCACCCAAACGCACATCTCTACGGCGTCGAAAGCAAAGGCGTCTTACTTCGTCAGAGGAAGAAGATGAGGACCAAAGTGATACAAACAACGACAATGATGCAACGACGAGTAGACGGCCAAGACCACAGAGAAAAAAACCTGAGCCAAAAGAAAAGAAACCCAACAAAACAACAAGGGTAGGTGTTGGAATATCTGTTTATAGGTAACTTATAGTATTTTTAGTCCTAAGGGCCAAAAAGAACATATTCCATATAGTTCTATCCAGCAGTATTCAGATAAGGGCTAAGAGGAACATATTCCAAACCTACATGCCACCAGGAGTGGGATTGGGAATTAGGTCTTTGGGCCAATACTTGAATAATAAATACTTGGGATCAACACCTATCCACATTTCAACTCGTTGACACAGAAGAGTTAAAAAATCTGGCTACAAGAATTTGTCCCAGCGTCCGGACCCACATTTGGAAATCACAAGTGAGATCTTCACCCAATAACCATGAATGCCTTACTGGGCATGTAGAGGCAAATGCATAGCATTTGCTGTCTGGGAAAGGATGAAGTCTTAGTCCATGACTTGTCTAGTATTTAAGCATAGAAAGGGACAAAAATGGGGCAGGGACTTATCGTCAAATGAAACTATGTCAGAAAGAAAACTTGCTGCCTTATAAGAATATGATCAAGTAAAACGTAGACAATTAAAGCACTTCTTTTACATATTTAAACTAACTAAAATTAATGAAAGTAAAAGAAGGTGATGATTAAAATGTGATCTTTCTTATTAAATTAAATCAGAATTGAGATATCATAAGGATGGAAATGTTTCTAATATTTTTTGACTGTTTTGAGCAATGTCACTGAATGGTACATTTAAAGAATTTCAGCAATATTCACCTTTTGTTCAGATATTTACATTGTATTAAATTTTTGTACCCTATAGAGACGACAGCAGATAGTTAAAAAGATGGGTGGGGTTGAGGAGCTTCCAGAAGAGTTCCGACCCCCAGAGTGGCTGACAGACACAAAACCAAGGAAAACACCATATGTTCCTCAGATGGGGGATGAGGTGATGTATTTCCGACAAGGACATGCCCTTTATCTACAGGCTGTTAAACGCCATGCTGCCTACAATGTGAACTCCAATAAAAACCAGCCCTGGAACAAATATCCTCACCTCAGGGTAAGTAAAATATTGCTTTTAAAAGGATCTTCAGGTCTGTGACTTGTTTAGTGCCTGCATATATGGCACTGAATTATTCTGTCATTAAATATTCTCTTTGTAATAATATATCATTTTATCCACCAGGAACAAGAATATGTAAAGATAGTTGGGATAAAGTATGAAGTCCGTCCTCCCCGCCTCTGCTGTTTGAAGCTGGCCTTCATTGACCCAGAGACGGGCAAAACTTCTGGGGGGTCATTTAATATAAAGTAAGTTACATATTGTTTAATCACTGTTTGTGAAAACATTTTCTTGTTTGACAAAGAACATTAATTCATTTTCATCGTTTAAGATTTCTATGAGATAGCAATTTTACTCTTTTTTCGTGCATGTTTTAATTGCTCTATTTGACCTTTAACATATGGTAGCAAAATTGAATCTGTTGTAACCTAAAATGCTTATTTTTATGATCAATTGTCAGTTATATTGATTTGGACTTTTTGTCTTCCACAGGTACCATGACATGTCTGATGTTATAGATTTTCTTGTTCTTAAACAAACATATGATGTCGCCATGAAACGGAGATGGAAAGCAAGTAAGTATGAGCGTACATGATTGCACATTTTTGGAATTTTAGTGGTCCAATCCCAATGGTGAATTTAGAAAGGATAAAATCAAATTATTGTTTAAATGAAATTATTGTTAACACTCTTGTCTTCATATTGGATTGGAGTGAACAATTAGACAAAGTATACAAGATAGAAGATATGCTTTACTGTTTAACAATTACTACATCTTGAAAATCTTTATCATTGCATAAGTAACCTCATTTCTGGAGAGATTTTGAAGTGTAGAGAATGATTTAGATGTTAAAACAGTAATCAAGGTCTGCTAATTACAAGTGTAGAGAATAATTTTTATTGTAGTTACAACAAAAATCTCATGAAAATATTCAAGAATCTCCTACAATAGAATTGTGTGGTAAAAGTGAGCAGTCTAGGCTCTTTAATCTATAACATATTGAATTCTGAAAATGATCTTCAGATGACCGTTTCCGTTCTATGATTGACGATGCATGGTGGATGGGAACTATAGTATCACAGGAACCATTCCAACAGGAGTACCCGGACAGCATGTTTCAATGTTTCAATGTTCAGTAAGTGTGGAAAACCTACTTTGTATTTGATGGATTTTACCTGATATTGTAGGAATTACAAACATGGTTTAGTTCCTGCCTTGTAAAGATAGTGTAAGAAACATCTAGCCACACTTCAGAATTCTTGTACAATTTGATTTCATTGATTTGTCTTCTGGTGAATCATGAAGAAAAATCAATAAAAATCACATGTCTTAACAATTGTGTATGAAAATCACATCTAGACTGATTTTCTGTAAAATTCCCATTTGAAAGGTATTAAGAAGGAGAGTAAATTCTGTATGTGTTGCTTTATTGAGATTTGAACATTGTGTTACAGCTGGGACAATGGTGAGATCGAGAAGATCAGTCCATGGGATATGGAACCTATCGGACAATGTCGTAAGTATTAATAATATTGAGAAATATTTTTGACAGTCTACAAGTGCATGAATGACAGGTCAAATGTCATGTGTTAGCATCTTATTTAGAGAACATTGTTAGGCCAAAGGAACTTAAAATTGGTAAAACGAAGCTCAGAATGTGCCAAATATTAAAATGACATTATGTTAATTTAAATCCTATTTTGAAATGATGTGACATGACGAATTGAACATCAGGTAATATATTTTTTTATTGTTATGAATTCAAACATTTTAAAGGTATGTAAAAAAAAAAAAAAAAAAAAGAAAAAGGTATTTTGATATATATTTTCTAATAATCATTAACACCTTCCTGTTAGTGTCTGTTCTAAATTAATGCAAGATGTTGGTATGTTTTTTATTCTAGAGATGCCAGATGAGCAGGGAGGAGGCGTGCCTGTGACCCAGGATGAGGTGAAGTCCCTGATGTACACGCCCACCTCAGGTGAATGGCCGTCATGTGGGCGGGATGCAGAATGTGAACGCATTATAAGATGTATGGAGGCAGTAATGGAACACTCTATAGCGGAACCTTTCCTCACGCCTGTTGACCTTAACGCATTCCCAATCTACGCAATAGTTATTGAATATCCCATAGATCTCACCACCATCAAATCCAGACTTGAAAACAGATTTTATAGGTAGGTTATCTCCATTTGAAATGGCTTGATCACTACTTATATTTAACCGCAAGCTACTCAAAATTAGACTGCAAAAGAAAGGATATAATGGGAAATGTAAGCCTGAGATATCTGTTTTAAGATTCTTGTAAATTTCGTAAAATAATAACATCATTTTTGTAGCACTGAACTGTGCCTGTTTGACAAGAATTCAACATGATCAAATTTGCATAGCCAATAAATGAAGAAAACTTCTGACCCATTTTTCTTTTCTTCTGTTTTTTTTCTCTCAAAAATTTTCTCCAAAGTGATGTGGTTTGTATTTTTCATTTGAGCTGTACTAGGCTTCATAAAATACAGATATAGCAGTTACTTTTATACTTTTATACCATCATAGTTAAATTAAATCCTTATGAATTCTTCATTTTCAGGAGAGTCAATTCTTTACAGTTTGATGTACGATATATTGAAAACAATGCCAACACTTTCAACGAACCCGGAACCCCAATAGTGAAGAGTGCACAGATCACCACCGAAATACTCCTTAGAATCATCAGGTAAAAGCCTTTTGGTCATAGCACTGGTAGTGTGTTGTTCAGGATTTGGTACTTAATCTGAAGTATTCGCATCACTTTTAAGGTTTTTCTAGCAGCAGCTAAAACCAATATGATATGAAAATCCTGCAAATGTGTAGATTCAGATAGAAGTATTTTGTATGTATTTGAAGTACAATGTGGCCAGGTCCAAAAATACAAAATGAAATAAAAAGGAAATTAACATAATATATAACATTAAAAAAAACACTCCAAATGTTTGTTGTATGTTAGTTGTGTGTTATTTAGTAATGTTGTAATATTCTTGTATTTATAGTGATGAGGACTGTACAGATCCCCATTCTATCATCTCACAGCTGTGTCAGGGTGAGGAATTTAGCTGGGGATCGTCATCCTCTGACAGTGACAGAGAGGAAAATAGCCAGGCCAGGAAACGCAAACGTGTAAGTAAACTGGAAAGAGGTTACACACTGAGTATTTGTTGTATATGGTATTTCTTTCATTGACATGTAAAACTGACCAGTTCAGAAAAATATTTTAATTCATTACAAATTATTACAAATTATAACAAATAATTAATAACTTTGTTGTACTTACAGCAATGAATGATAGAAATCCATATTAAAATCAAATCATCACAAAAACATCTGTGAACTATATATTACACATCTTAATTTCTGCATGATTTCCTTTTATTCAATGCACAACTTGTCACCCAATAAAAAGATCAGAAATAATATACCACTATTGGTATAAATCATATACTTATCCAATTGTCTGCATGTTTGCACAATGATCTGAGACAACACAACATATTGTGATAGAGGGGTTAAAATAATTAACATCTTCTTTGACATTCTATTAATGTCTATTTTGCAGAATGCTTGTTATAGTTAATGTCATACACTGTCACCTATGTTGTAAAGTTTATTAGTCCAGTAAGGAATTTAAGTCATCTCATTGAAGCTACACGTGATATTGTTTGGCTAGTTGAAAATTAAAACAAATTCTTTTGTCGCTGTAATATGAAACTTTGACTATAAGCTTGTTAATAAGAAAGTTATGCTTACAACAATAGTTTTATACATCTCATGGATATGTTGGATCTATGATGTTATATATAATGTTTGAAGGGTGGTGACTCCGACATTCCACGGAAAAGACAGAAGGTGGAACAGCGACACAAGACCACTAACTCCTGGAAGGATGAGTGTCTCCAACTACTGGTTACAATGCTACATTGTGAGGATTCCGAACCTTTCAGGGAACCTGTTAATCTGGAAAGTTATCCTGTATGTAAATAAGCACAAGATTGTCCAATGGTCTAATAGTTACAATAACACAATTTGATCAGCTGTACTGAAATTACAATAACACAATATGATCTGCAGTCCAGTAATTACAACACAATCTGGTCAGCTGTTCTGTAATTGTGAAAAACCCAATCATATGAGATGTTCTGTAATTACAAAAACACAGTCTGATCAGCTGTTCTGTAATTACAATAGCACAATTTTAACAGCTGTTGTGTACTTACAACAACACAATCATATGAGATGTTCTGTAATTACAAAAACACAATTTGATCAGCTGTTCTTTTATAACAATAACACAATCTGATCAGCCACTCTATATTAACTGTCTGTTCTGTTATCCAGTAAGTACAAAACTGCCTTGTGATTATGAAAATAATGTAAACCAGATCGCCTATTGTTATGGCCTGAAAACATTATACTGAAAGAAATTTACTGCTTGCACTGTATTATTGATGAGTTCTATATTTGTTATGGTTTGCTGTAACACATAGGAACATGTAAACATAATAGAAAATGAGGCGACATGACTAGTATCATTAGACAGTGAGGCGACATGACTTGTATCATTAGACAATAAGGCGACATGACTTGTATCATGAGACAATAAGGCGACATGACTAGTATCATTAGAAAATGAGGCGACATGACTAGTATCATTAGACAGTGAGGCGACATGACTAGTATCATTAGACAGTGAGGCGACATGACTAGTATCATTAGACAATAAGGTGACATGACTTGTATCATGAGACAGTGAGGCGACATGACTAGTATCATTAGACAATGAGGCGACATGACTAGTATCATTAGACAATGAAAACTAGTATCATTAGACAGTGAGGCGACATGACTAGTATCATTAGACAATAAGGTGACATGACTTGTATCATGAGACATTGAGGACAATGAGGCGACTGACTAGTATCATTAGACAGTGAGGCGACATGACTAGTATCATTAGACAATGAGGCGACATGACTAGTATCATCAGACAATGAGGCGACATGACTAGTATCATTAGACAGTGAGGCGACATGACTAGTATCATTAGACAATGAGGCGACATGACTAGTATCATTAGACAATGAGGCGACATGACTAGTATCATTAGACAGTGAGGCGACATGACTAGTATCATTAGACAATGAGGCGACATGACTAGTATCATTAGACAGTGAGGCGACATGACTAGTATCATTAGACAATGAGGCGACTGACTAGTATCATTAGACAGTGAGGCGACATGACTAGTATCATTAGACAGTGAGGCGACATGACTAGTATCATTAGACAGTGAGGCAACATGACTAGTATCATTAGACAATGAGACTGACTAGTATCATGAAAATGGGCGACATGACTAGTATCATTAGACAGTGAGGCGACATGACTAGTATCATTAGACAATGAGGCGACATGACTAGTATCATTAGACAGTGAGGCGACTGACTAGTATCATTAGACAGTGAGGCGACATAACTTGTATCATCAGACAATGAGGCGACATGACTAGTATCATTAGAAAATGAGGCGACATGACTAGTATCATTAGACAGTGAGGCGACATGACTAGTATCATTAGACAGTGAGGCGACATGACCAGTATCATTAGAAAATGAGGCGACATAACTTGTATCATTAGACAATGAGGTGACATGACTAGTATCATTAGACAATGAGGCGACATGACTTGTATCATTAGACAGTGAGGCGACGTGACTAGTATCATTAGAAAATGAGGCGACATGACTTGTATCATCAGATTATGAGGTGACATGACTTGTATCATTAGACAATGAGGCGACATGACTTGTATCATCAGACAATGAGGCGACATGACCAGTATCATCAGACAATGAGGCGACATGACTAGTATCATCAGACAATGAGGCAACATGACTGGTATCATTAGACAATGAGGTGACACTCTATATTTGTTATTGTAGAATTACAACAGTATTATTGATGAACCAATGGACCTAGGAACTGTCAAAGAGAATTTAGAGAATGGTGAATACTCTGACCCAACACAGCTATGTAAGGACATCAGGCTGGTCTTCCATAACTCCAAAGTCTTCAACACCAACAAAAGATCAAGAGTGAGTTGTTTGGTTATTAATTGACATATATACATATAATTAACACAGCTGTGCAAGTGGAAACTTTGATGAAAATATGTGTCTTTAAAGTAAAACAAATTGAGCATGATACATTAAGAAATAATGTCAACTGATATTACCATCAATACATTATGCTAACTAAATATTTTATGTAACACAATTGTAGTTGTGTTAAATGCTCTGTCTGAATTTTTATCTTTTCCTGGTAGTCTACAGTAGAATTCTATAACGACTTACATTTACAGATCTATTCATGTCTATCTACAATTCTCTCTAGATTTATACTATGACATTACGTCTATCGGCCATGTTTGAAGAACAAATTAAGGACATTGTGATTGACTGGAAATCTGCCAAGAAACGAATGTCTCGATCCAGAAGTATTACAGAAAAGTAAGCGTTATTCTTGTATCTCTGTGTCTAGTGACTTATCATATACTTAAAATGTACAATAAGGTAGAGGGTTGTGTGATCAAAGATATAGTGTTTGTGGTGTTGTACAGTATCAATGACAGGGCCATTCCAGATGAAACAGTATAGGATAAGGAAGTATGACTTAGTGACAGATGGGTGATGGTTCTACAGTTCCTATGGAAGATGCTTGTCTGTAGAAGAAGGAAAAGTTTATGTATCAGTTCTTATCATGGAACAACTACCAAGATACATACTAACCATTAAAATCTTTCTTAGGTGAAATTCTTTTGGTCAAGAAATATTGTACAGCTGTTCCTCAAGTAACCCATGTCCTATAATGAGGACAGGTCAAAAACTTCACTTTTTTTCCATGCTGCTGCAGCTTTTGTTGTTACAAATTCAGAAAAGGCTTGTATGCTTCTAAATGACTGATAACTGTATGGTTATCCTCAAAATCACTCTTTTCTTCAACTTCAACAATTTTTCATGATTTTCACAGCTCGCGGTATACAGAGAGACGGCTGACCATAAACAGTTTGTCCTCAGAAGACACGCCTAATACAAGTAGTGCCAGACCAGGTCCTTCATCGTCGGGACTGATGGCAACTCGACGGACCCAGCGCTTGCTCAGTTCCTCCACTACTCAAGCTGATGATGATGAGGAAGAAGAAATTGAGGTGGATGTTGATAGTATTTCTGGCCCAAGTACGCGATCATCACATTCAAACTATGTTTCTAAACACACACGTAAGTTTACTCTCCTAACGAGACAGTCCAACACTTGTCTAGCTATTGTACAATTCCAACTTGGTAAAGTAATCACTTGGTCTATGCATACATGTGTGACGTCATTCATATTGTGATATTTACTCTCTACTAATAATCAAGAATTTTTTCCTTTAATGTGGAAGTGTCAAGTTATAGATTTTTTTAATTTATTTATATTATGTAATAAATTTATTATATATTATGTAGTATGTTATATTTATTATATTATGTGATATGTTATATTTATTATATATATTATGTAACATGTTATATTTATTATGTAATATATTATATTTATTATATATGATGTAATATGTTATATTTATTATATATGATGTAATATATTATATTTATTATATATTATGTAATATATTATATTTATTATATATGTTATTTTTTAAGATTTATATTCATGATTTATTCATTATCACTGTGTTTCAAACAGAAAAAAAAAACTTGCACAAAAGTGGCCCAAGTTTGTTTCACAACATTATCAGATGTCAATTATTTTTTAGAGATGTTTTGATTTAGTTTAAAACATTAAAAAATGTCACTAGATTTCTGATATGTTTAAATATCTGATATTAATATCTACAAAAAAAAATCTACATTTCTTTCAATGTTATTTTTGCTATTTGAGGTTAGGCTATATTATCACTTCATAAATAACAAATTCATTTCAGGAAAATCAGGAGTTAAGAAGGATGAGCCCAACCATTATGACTCTGAGACGGAAGTAGAAAGTGATACCGAGGAGGAAGAGGATATTAAACCATCAAACTCCCAACGGAAACGTTCTACAAAAACCTCAGCTCCTAAATCTGCCTCATCAAAATTCAGTATTAAAGGTTTGTAGGATTTATTTCAAGAGCAAATTCTTAGTATGTTAGGTGTTTCAGGTTTGTGAAATTGTCATCTGTCAGTTCAGGTGTGTAACATAAATGGGAAGTCATTAGGCAAAAGACCACTCTCAGCTGATTATCACTCTTGACTGAATTTACTAGTATAGTGGACCTTTTGTCAGTGAAGTCAGCTTCCAGCCAAATAAATTTTTACGTATTTGTTTTTTACCTTCTTGCAGAGGTATAAGTTCTCAGCTAGTTACAAGATATTTGTCCTTGCAACAGTAACAATCCATTTGTTTTGGTGAAATTATTAAATTACTGCATAATGCAGTTAAGATGGAAATTATGGCTTCAAAATAGAAACCTAATAAAAAAATTATCTTATTTCACTGAACTAAAAGTACGAAATTTACACCAATTTTTTTTTACCTTATTTTGATGAAGTAAAGTAAGAGAAAAATTGGAAAAAAGTATCACATATATACATTTATCTATATTTCTCCTAGGTAAGCAACCTGTGACATCAAATGGCCAGCACAAGACACGTGCTGCTACAGGAACAATCAAACCTAGGCGGTACTGTGTCGATGGATCTTTCACAGACGAAGAAAAAATGTCTTTAAAAACTGCATCACCTTCACATTCATCTTCATCCTCATCATCTTCAACAGAAGTTGACTCAAATGACAGTAGTAGTTCTTCAAGCTCATCCTCTGACTCTGATTCAGACTCGTCATACAACAGTATGGACGCTAAGCCTTCAAGACAGACTAGAAGAAGTAAACCTGTGCGACCCTCGGTCAAACCGAGGTTAAAAGCTTCTGATAACGGATTTGTGATAGATAAAAATAAGAAGAAAACCAATCAAAATTCTAAGGTGAAAAAAACTAGTAATAATGCTACCTCATCTCGGCGAACAAAAGCTTCAGGGACAGTTAAAAGAACGACAAGAAATCAAGGTCGTCAGACTGTGAGGTATCAGGAGGACAGTGATGGTGAACCTGAGGATTCACGGGGCCTGGAGGGGTCAGGGACAAGCTCTGACTCTGACTACAGTATAGGACATGATAGGCCTGACATTAGCACTAGTAGTAGGGGGCGTGTCAGGAAACTCACAGCCCGAGCTAGGGCCAGTCTCATGGGTGAATAATGAAGGAGACGTGTGTATGGGTTTAGTGATGCCAGTGTGTCATAAATTAGTGTTGCTGCCAATGTTCATTTCTTGCTACAAGATTATAACACAGGAAAGGAATGCTGATAAAATTTATGTAAAAACTTTCAGTTGAATAGAGTATCATTTTAAAATTGAATGAATCATAACAAAAAAATTACTAGAAGTGACGGAAATGTAGTCTCAAGATTGTATCAAAATACTGATGTTAAAGACTTCATTTTGGTCCAATTGTAATAGTATTCTGAATTCTGTAAACTCTTAAAGGAAAACCTTTTCTGAAATGTTAACATTGCTAGTTACTTGGAGGCACTGGTACCATCAATCAACAACGGACTCTACAGGAGGACTTTGATCTCAGCTTTTGTTATTATATATCATTTTGTTGCTATGATGATCCAGTATAAAGATAGCTATCACAAAGTGTTCCATTGCTGTAAGGTAGAATATTCAGATTGTATTTGTGTGAAGGGACCGTAAAACATGATAAGTTTGAAGCATTACAGGACTACAGTCACTAGTATATTACTTGTGTATTCATATCTAGGACGACATACCAATCTTAGTGCAATGGTCGATAACATCTCATATTTGCTGTACTGTGTTTCAGATGTGTATGGAAGTGTTTTCTGTAAGAGGAGCATAGTAGGGATAAAGAATGAACTTATGATCATCAGAGTTATATAGTGAAGAAGAAGTATTTCAAATTAAAAGTTAAGTTGTTTTAAGAATTAACAGGTAATGGGTAGTAAAAGAAGTGGTTGGAATGGCAAGGGGGGGGTCATCATGTTGTCTATACTCTTTGTAGCATTTGATGTCTTTCTGTTCTATTCTCCCTTTTACTAGCCCGCTTGCGACTGTTTCAACATGAAAAGAAACAAAGCAACGGTAACCGAGAGACAATTTGTCAATGGCCCATATCTGATGGACAATTCATAAATTTTAGTACACAAGAGCCTATTTCGGATAAGTTTTTTTAACAAATATTTAACGTGCTACTTGAAGCTTTTAAGAATTTGAAATATAGCTGCCCCTGGCCAATGCTACAGAAGTGCTTTGATAGTTATTTCAAAGGTGATCACCTGTCACCTTATAAAGTATTGTTAAACTTTCAACTTTCCCACTGCACAGCTCTCTGATGGCTGTACCTGTTTTCTGACTGGTATTGGATGATTGAGTATCCAGCGGACGAGGAGAACACTTCCTTCAGAAGAAGGTGATCTCAAGTTGTATTTAGAACAGTGAAAATATGTATCGAAAATGAGGCAACATAGACAAAAAAAATAGTACTATATGATTCTTGGCTTACATCAGATTGAGAGGTTGTTCCCAGTTCTTGTATACAAAAGCACCTGGACATTGTTTTATGAAAGAAATTCTAGATGTTGCTTATTCCACTCCAGTTTTCTCTCTGTGACAGATTTTGTTGTAGTTTTCTTCCAGCCATCTTGTTTTCATCATTACATGTGCTATGTGCAAAGTATTATGGGATTCAAAGGCTAAATATAACTGCCTAATTTTTATTTTATCTAGTCAATCTGTGAGATCGTAGAAGGATTTCCTTGATTAATTAGCCGGCATGTAATAAGGCATTTTTCAGAACTCTGGAACTTGGTATTCATTTAGGATTTTGTTCTGGGTTCTGTTCGATCGGTAAATTGACATTTTCTCCACTGGTGACCACCTTTAATCTAACTACCGTATTCGTATTAACTGAAAATGTTGGTAGCAGTTTTAGCATGCTGTTTGTTCAGAGACCCAGAAGATTCAATCTTTTGATCACTGGCAATTAATAATCCAGTAACGTATCAATTTTCAAAAACTCTTCCAACAAAAATGATAATTAGTGCCTGTCAAGATACTGTTTAAAAATTTATTATTTTCATGAATCATTTGATGAAATTGATAAGAAACAAGATTGTTTGGTCTGCCATTTGATGAATAAGAGAAACAAAGTGACAGAGTTGGTAATAAGTCTGGTACAAGACGAGGTAGTAGTAGTTGTTGTTGCCTTATATAGGGATGGAGATTTATAACTATTTTTGTTACACTCTGATCCATTCGATCAGCACCTGTTGATATCATCTGTTACTTGGTGAAAAAAATTGATACATAGATACACATAATACATTGATTTTATTGTGAAGAATTAAATAATTAAGAGTGGTTACTCGTGTTTTCTGATATTGTGAGGCATGTGCATTTTGAGAATGAGACTATTGAGGTAGGGTTTGATGTATACAAGTTCTAAGGATGAGATGTGTCTAGTTACCTATGTGTTCAGATTGCTCAAAAATGAAATATTCCAGAATATGTTTTGTTAAACATCAGTATGTTCATTTGTTGTCTAAAACTGTGGTTTTATTAATTTGTTAGGAAACTGTTGTGATTTGTATTCTCAGATGATACAAGTGTGTGAATAGTTCCAAGAGTGACTCGCAGTCAGTATGGATTTATTTACTATACCAGGCTTAATTAGGCTTGTTATTACAAGCAATTCTAAGTATATAGTTGGCTTATGAACTGTCATGCATTTACCACAGAAACTGGCTTGGCATCACTTAAGGTGTGTGTGGAATACAAATATATATTATATAAGTTATAACTTGTATAGAGATTAAATTATGTAAATTGTTGAAAAATGTTTAAAGAAGGTGTTAAGTTATTTCAGGACTAAATTACTGGATATATTGAGATTCATTATTTATATTTTCATTATAAATTCAGTGGAGAGGTAGTTTGGCTCAATTTCTTGTTAAGTACGGATAGATTTCATTTTTACTTGAGACGTTTTAATTCTAGAATCATGAGACTATTAAAAATATTTGTATTGTCTGTCTTTAGGATGGTAAAAATACCACAGATCATGTTTGTTACAGGTAATACACGGGGAATTCTAGTATTAAACATAATATCTAAACTAAACAGAAAATTGTCCCTTGGTAAAATTAGACGAGAAAATGGAGATAATTTTTTTTTAATCAAGATCATCAAGTTTCAATAAGATTTTGTACATGATTGTGTAGACAATATTACCCTCTGTCACATTTGTATGGAGGTAACTTATGAATCAGTAAATCTCTCCATAGATAAACCATTCATACTCAAACAACTTTCTTTTTCATTTTTTTCATTATTATCAGTTACAGATCATGGCCTGAAATATTTTTATTCATTTTATATCATTATTCCTATGTAATTCTGAAGAAGTGCCAAATGTATATCCTAAATTTTGAGGGATTGTACTCCATTTTCTGTGTATATCTCTGTGGCATGTTCAGTTATCTGAAGCTGTGACATGTGCTTGTGATGTCACAACTTTGTGTATAAGTGTATTATATGTATGGTGCCTAGTTCAGTGCCAAGTTCATCAGTTACCAAATTTTCATGCAACATGAAAAATGAAGGAAGTCATCGATGAAATCTTTACATGACTGTTATGTTGCACTTTGTATAACACATGTTCATTAAGTAGGATGACTGGATTTCTCCTGCCATCATGAAGTTGGAATAAAGTAGATCAATGGTTTTCATGAGAAGCCACTAGTTTATAAAATAATTTCAGTCTATAAATATTTCTCTAACTCCTTTCATGAAATGAAAAACTGTAATAATGTTATAATATTTTACTCAGTTTATCTGCCTTTATTGCAATTGTTGGCTTCAATTTAAAATTATTGAAACCACAGGGGATGTCATTGTACTTAGGTCCAATTGAGGGGGAAGAGGCAATATTAACCGTGGCTTATCACTGCACAATTCTTATAAAGAGTTGTATGGTATGTATTATGTGAACAGTATTGATCTACTGTATATATTGTGTATTGGTGAGAAGCTATGAATGATTGTCAGAATGATGTACATGTAGATTCTGTTGTTTTGTCTTTCTTTGATAAAAAAAAGAGTGTTATCATTTTATCATGAGTAAGGTGTAGAGTTTTTTAAAAATATTTTGCAGGTGCTTGGTATCTAATGAAATATTCCTACATGTATCGATTTTTGAATAGGAAGTTACAGCGTATTTGTGATGTTTGAGGTGTAGAAAGTAATCACATGTTCTTGATTCAACATGTGATAATCAGAAAAAAATCAACTTTTTAAAATCAGTTTTACAAAACATTCTGAAATTTTCTTTTTCAATATTTTTTTTTTTTCAAAAGGACATTTTTTAAAATGGGCCAGTTATATTTTCAGTGGTTCATTAAACAGTAATATCATTTTATTATAATTATATATTAAGATAGAATTACTTTAAAAAAAACAAAATCAGTCTTTTTCTGAAAAGAAGAATTATAAACTCACTAATGTATTTAATTTCAACAATTGATTTCTTTTCCAGCTCTTATTGATGAAGTGTTTGTGACGTTGCTAAAGAAAGTTTTAAGGAATAATGGTATAATGGTCAAAAAATATTTGTCGAAAAGAAGGAAATATAAATAACTTGAATTCTGTAAATGTGCATGTACTAGTTATCTTATTTTAGTGCTTTTTGTTCTGAATGTGTTGCACTAAAATATGAGACACCCTTTATTCATACTTTTTATAGAGTAATTATATCAGGGACATTTAATACAGAGGGATAAGAAATTGTCTTTATATTTTTCTAACAATATAGTGAAGACATTGAAGTAAACTAGCCTTGCTATTTTCATAAACTATTTTCTCAAGAATAATATTACTAATATTTAAGAAAAAAATAGTAAAAAAAAAACTTAATTTTCAAATTGATTGTGCTAATTTTTGCAACAAATAATTTTTGTTAACTTTTGATATCTTTGAAACAGAATTCATGTTAAAGCTACTTACAACCCTACATTGCATACCACTTTCAGACTGAAATATGAAATCATCTTTAGAGAGATGGCATTAACAGTAATTTTCCAGCTGACTCATGTAAGGTTTGTGATATAACACTTTGTTTGTATTATTATTGTTATGGAAATGAGATTCACTTCTCACCAGCTGACAAAATGGCTCTGGTCAGGCCAGTCAGTGCTTAGTCTGCACATGCTATTGCATACAGGCACAGGTAGAAAAGATTTGACAACAGCAGTTAAAAGAGGGGACTTCAATAACTTTACAGCTAAGAGAACAAACAGGAAAGTTAACACCATAGAATCAACACTGGGCCTAGTCTCTTATCCCTCTGTATCATATGTCT